CCCCCAATTTTATTTGCACCTTATACACTTCCACTGACGACATTCCACACAAACACACACTTAGGGCCTTGGGAGTGAGCACATTCAACGGCATTTGGCAGGGGGATATTTCAGCCTCCTCCCGGGTGCCGGTGCCCACTTCCAATTTTAAACCGCACTTAGACACTGATGGCTGAGGGTGTAAGTGGGGTGGTGCGGGGGCACCAGCTGGCATAGGCCGGATGATGCCCGCACTGCCCACTCACCACAGCCATGGAATACATCTCATGATCACACAACACTATATTGGAGCAGGCTGAGGGAGACTAGGGGTCTTAGCCACCTCTGTTGTTGCTAGGCCTCCTGGGGCTGGAGGCTAGGAGGGAGATCTGGCCGTCTGGTTGGGGTTTGGGGTGGTGGGTTGCTGTGCTCGGCATTGGGCGGGGGAGCCTGCTCATCAGCACCCCAGCAGAAAGGGTCAAACTCTGGTTACCGGTGATGGTTGTACCCAGTGTGCAGCAGTACCGGGACCAGAGTGAATAGGGTGTGTATGGGGAGCATGAGTGGGTGTCCGGCGTGCATTTTTGTAAGTCTTGGGTTGTATGTGCATGTGTGAGCATGAGGGAGGCAGTGTGTGACTGTGTTTGTGTATGATTGTATATGTCAGGTGGGGCCTTTGACTCCTCCCCTCTCCTGGAACCTCTCTTGATGATATAGATCTTTGTCCCCCCTCCCCCTGCCACACCTGGTGTGAGGGGTTGTGCCATGGTCTGCCTGAGTGTTCGTGGCAACCGGGTCTGGGGGTTTAAGATTCAGGCATCTGCCTGATAGATCCCGGTGGCTGCCTGGTGGGGTCTGGGTCCCTGGGCTCTGCTGGGTCCCCGGCGGGGGTGGTCACCCCTGGGTCCCGGGTCGCTGGGTCCCGGGCTCGGCCGGCTAGGGGGTGGGAGGCTGCGGGCGGGCCTGTGGGCTTGCCGCTGATATCTCCCGGGACTCTGCCGGCTGCTGGTTGTGGCCCCCCGGGGCGATCCTCTGTGCCTCTCGGGGGGGGGGGGGGGGGGGGGGGGGGGGCTTTCCTGGTTGCAGTCTCCTTGGGGTTCCTGTGTTCTGGGGCAGCACCTGGATCTCTGGGCCTTTGAGCTCCCCCCGTCTCCTGCGCATCTTTGGGGGGCGGATCTGTGGTCCCTCGCACTCTCTGTTGGACGTTCCTATAGAGAAACCTTACATAAACAAGCGCATGTACACACACAGGTGCTCACATGGTGCTCTCAAAAGTATGGGCTTGGGCACGTTAAACACAGGTCTTAAGACTATGGTGGGCACTTAATGCACTGTGATTTATTATCGTGATTCTTCAGTTAAGCAATGTTGATTATATATTTTCTTCATCATGTTGACGCAGTGATAGCTAGATCTTGTTGTATTGTTGTTGTCCCTTTTTTTTTTTTTTGCCTTTTTCTGCAGGTCTAGAAGCAGACTCTTGTTCATTGTTTATTTTTGTGGAACACCCCCCCCCCCCCCCCCCCCCCTTCCTCCCTCCCCACCTTTTCATTTCCTTTCTCTTTCACCTCTGTCTCCGTGTCTGGTCGGAATTACAATGCATTCAACAACAATAACAAAGTTTTAAGTATCAGGCGTGACATTAAAAGCAAACGCTTTGATGCTCCACCTGAGAGTAAATCTGTAAGGCTTGTCACCAGCATTCAGACATCAATTCTGCTTGCTTCACAGCCAGACAGGACACGGTAAAAAAAAAAAAAAAAAAAAAAAAGTATTTAGTCAGCCACCGATTGTGCAAGTTCTCCCACTTAAAATGATGACAGAGGTCAGTAATTTACATCATAGGTACACTTCAACTGTGAGAGACAGAATGTGAAAAAAAATCCATGAATTCACATGACAGGATTTTTAAAGAATTTATTTGTAAATCAGGGTGGAAAATAAGTATTTGGTCAATAACAAAAATTCAACTCAATACTTTGTAACATAATCTTTGTTGGCAATAACAGAGGTCAAACGATTACTATAGGTCTTTACCAGGTTTGCACACACAGTAGCTGGTATTTTGGCCCATTCCTCCATGCAGATCTTCTCGAGAGCAGTGATGTTTTGGGGCTGTCGCCGAGCAACTCAGACTTTCAACTCCCTCCACAGATTTTCTATGGGGTTGAGGTCTGGAGACTGGCTAGGCCACTCCAGGACTTTCAAATGCTTTTTACGGAGCCACTCCATTTGTTGCCCGGGCGCTGTGTTTGGGATCACTGTCGTGTTGGAAGACCCAGCCACGTTTCATCTTCAAAGCTCTCACTGATGGAAGGAGGTTTTGGCTCAGAATCTCATGATACATGGCCCCATTCATTCTGTCCTTAACACGGATCAGTCGTCCTGTCCCCTTAGCAGAAAAACAGCCCCAAAGCATGATGTTCCCACCCCCATGCTTCACAGTAGGTATGGTGTTCTTGGGATGCAACTCAGTATTCTTCTTCCTCCAAACACGACGAGTTGAGTTTATACCAAAAAGTTCTACTTTGGTTTCATCTGACCACTTGACATTCTCCCAATCCTCTGCTGTATCATCCATGTGCTCTCTGGCAAACTTCAGACGGGCCTGGGCATGCACTGGCTTCAGCAGCGGAACACGTCTGGCACTGCAGGATTTGATTCCCTGCCGTTGTAGTGTGTTACTGATGGTGACCTTTGTTACTGTGGTCCCAGCTCTCTGCAGGTCATTCACCAGCCCCCCCGTGTGGTTCTGGGATTCTTGCTCACCGTTCTCATGATCATTTTGACCCCACAGGATGAGATCTTGCGTAGAGCCCCAGATCGAGGGAGATTATCAGTGGTCTTGTATGGCTTCCATTTTCTGATAATTGCTCCCACAGTTGATTTTTTCACACCAAGCTGCTTGCCTATTGTAGATTCACTCTTCCCAATCTGGTGCAGGTCTACAATTCTTTTCCTGGTGTCCTTCGAAAGCTCTTTGGCCATAGTGGAGTTTGGAGTCTGAATGTTTGAGGCTGTGGACAGGTGTCTTTTATACAGATAATGAGTTCAAACAGGTGCCATTAATACAGGTAACGAGTGGAGGACAGAAAAGCTTCTTAAAGAAGACGTTACAGGTCTGTGAGAGCCAGAGATTTTCCTTGTTTGAAGTGACCAAATACTTATTTTCCACCCTGATTTACAAATAAATTCTTTAAAAATCCTGCCATGTGAATCCATGGATTTTTTTTTTTCACATTCTGTCTCTCACAGTTGAAGTGTACCTATGATGTAAATTACTGACCTCTGTCATCATTTTAAGTGGGAGAACTTGCACAATCGGTGGCTGACTAAATACTTTTTTGCCCCACTGTAGGTGGGGAGAGCAGAATAAAGAGAGAGTGGTGAAGAAGGTCATACAAAAGCCACTTTGAACAGGTGAGTCTTCAGCTGCTTTCTGAAGGAGACCACTGAGTCCACTGATCTCAGGAGGAGAGAGTTCCAGAGTCTGGGGGCCACAGCAGCAAATGATCTGTCACCTTTGGTCTTAAGCCTGGTGCTGCACAGCCAGTAGGCTTTGATCACTGGACCTCAGGGACCTGTTGAGGGTGTAGGGACTAAGGCCTAGTCCACACGTAGCCGGGTTTTTTTTTAAACGAATATCCGCCCCTCCAAAAACTTGCATCCACACCACCTCGTTTAAAAAAAAACTGTCCACACGTACCCGGATAAATACGTTGTTAAGGACATGCCAGACCTGTAGGCGGCAGTACTTCCCCTGTTCTTAACCTCGTCCTTCGTCAGTGGTCTTCCGCAAGGAGCAGTAATTCCGCTTGCAAAAACAAACAAGCAAAAAGCGCTTGGACAATTGATAAAGCAAGCGCAGCTCAGAGAGCATCCATGCTGTCGGCTAGTGTAAACACAGGTCGCACACGTGATGTCAGCATTTTTTTGTCGCGGAAAGTGACGTTGCAGACCTTAAAACTCCGGTTTTGTCTGTCCACACGCAGACACCCAAAACGGAGAAAACGCAGATCTTCACTTTTGCCGGAGTTTTTTAAAAAGATCCGTTTTCGTGTGAAAAAACTCAGTTTTCGTGTGGATGACAGGCCAAAACATAAAAAAATATCTACGTTTTGGCAGATCCCCGGCTACGTGTGGACAGGCCCTAAGAAGATGACCAATGTAAGATGGTGCTTGTCCATGTAAGGCCCTATAGACCAGAACCAGGATCTTGAAATGAACCCTGAAGTTGACTGGCAGCCAATGAAGCTGGAGGAGAAGCGGGGTGATGTGGGTGTGTTTGGAGGACTTGGTCAAAAGCCGAGCACAGGCATTCTGAGCCAAATGTAAGTGGTTCAGGGATGCTCTGCTCAGACACGTGAAAAGAGAGTTACAGTAGTCTAAGCGTGAGGAGATGAAGGTGTGGATAACTGTTTCAAGTTCAGAGCGGGACAGAATGGGACTCAGCTTAGCAATGTTCCTGAGATGGAAGAAGGAAGAGCGAACAAGAGAACTGACATGAGAATCCAGGGTGAGAGCTGGGTCAAAGGTCACGCCAAGATTCCTGACAGAAGGTTTGGTGTGAGAAGCAAGCTGACCAAGAGAGTCTCTGACTTTGGGAACCAGCTTGTCTGGGGCACAGATGAGGATCTCAGTCTTATCTTCATTCAGCTGTAGAAAGAGCAGCCCGCTACTCTGAAGTTGCAAATGTGGTATTCTGGCCACGTGGGGCTGTGGGGGTCTAATTTAATTAACCCTGTAAAGGGTTGTTTTATCACATAATGGCTCAAGAAAATTCTTTAAAGCTATGAAAAAGTTGCATAGTGTGGCTTTTAAATCCCCACCAAACAAGGAAAAGAACAAAAAAGTCTTGAATGAGGCAGCGTGACAATACATCTCTACTGTATGAACAAAATATATCTGATCAGAGGCTTCTGGGATGGCGGGGGGGGGGGGGGGGGGGGGGGGGGGGGGGCTCAGGGTGAGTAACAGATGACTCAACAGCCCTCTACTATAAGATACCCTGATGGAGCCCAACAGTGTCAAACATCCAGACACCATCCAGGGTAAGGTCAGTTCTTCATCTCTTGTTTTTACGTGTTCACTTCCACATTTAATCTGTTTTAATACAGATTCTCATTTATCACTTAGTAATTGTGTGAATGTTGAAAAATAAAATCCAGTTTGTTTTACTGATTATGAGAATTATTCACTGATAGGAGTAAAAGATAAAGAATGTTAACCACAGTCTGTTGTTTGTACATCTACAGTTGAGTTGATCGCAAATATTTGTTGGATTAATCAAACAAAACGAGTAAATTAGTAGTGGGAGGTTTAACCGCACCTGTGTAAATTCAGACATGAACGTCTGGCCTTTTTTTTTATCAAAACAAATGAAAAATGTATCATTTTAAATATTTAAATCTGATTTTGTCTTTTTAAATAGTTTTTCTAGAGGAACTCTTCTTTAGTAAATCCAGGAGAATCCTCTGATCATGGACCACACTCTGGTGCTCCTGTTTTCCTTTTTCCATGTCCTAAGAGTGGGGATGGGAGCTCCTCTGAGGGGAGATCAGCTTAAAGTGAAAGTGGGCAAAGATGCGGATACCCTGATAATCAGGCTGACCCAAAACTTCCAGGTATTCATGAATAAAATTGTGCTTTTTTATAAAAAGAAGCTTTGTTTTGGACTAAATAATGCTCGTTTTTGCAGATGCCTCCCAACCTGACACTCAGCCCACCCAGTACAGAACTGGCAGGACTTGCCTCCATAGTAGCCATCCTGAAGGGTTACAACAACCTGATCTCTGACACTTTTGATGGCGTCGCCCAAGTCAAATCTGAAATCTCCGATCTGACAAATTATATCAATCAGTGGAGACTGGAGCACTGCAGGAACCAGCCAAGTAAGCCTCTGGTACCAACGGACAGCACGACCAACGTTCAGCACCTGCAGAACCAAAAACGATTCGTTCACACTGTGAGCATCGTGGCTCTTATGAGAGTGAAGGAGGTCCTCGGTCAGCTACGCAAAAACCCGGATCTTCTAGAAATATGCTGAAAAATGGACACAGATCAACGTCTGAATTGAGTTTAGTGATATTTTTACAAGGTTTTGGAAAAACATGCACTTATTTTCATACATAAATTATTTATTCTGTGTATTTTAACACCTAACTGTTTTTTAGCTACATAACTGCAATATTTAATCTGTTTAATATATATTTTGCACATAAGGATATTTGTAAATATGTCTTATGTTACCTCTGTTGAGTCAACTTGAGATGATTCAGCACTAAGAAGACTGACCGCAGAGGAAATTATGTGAGCAGGACTCTCATCCCTGGACTTTCCAGTGATCCAGGTGGGAATGTTTTATTATCAGCAGATGTGTTTGTATAGAGCCAAAGGAACCAGTCGGATAAAGGGCAACTTTCCCTATTGTGCAATAACAATGTGCTCCAAACTGACTATTTAAAACCAAAGAGGTTAAATATGTTTTTCTTCAATTGGTTCTGTTTTATGTAACTTTTGCAACAAAACTGATGCAATATTAACCCTCGTTGTCGGTGTTGTGTAGAAAACGTCCACGTAAACGGATCAATAGAATAACGTGAATAATAAATGACGTGAATACCTGGAAACAAATGACTTTTTTTTCTCATTTATATATATTTTAAAAAGACATGTACACAAAAACTCATTTTTACACGATCTACTTGTTGCAGTGACGGGTAAAACACTGACACTGCTTTAAAAATCACTGAAAAGATCTGAATGAAACATAACATATGGAGATAACTTCCTGTACAGTTTATCACATAAAAGCGGTTTTGTGTTGTTAAATCTTAAAGTTACAGACCACTATTCTCACTCAAACTCTGGTATTTAGTTATCAAACCACTTGTTTCTTTTAACTGTGTTGTTTTGGCTGCTGCTGCCCATCAGTTTCTTTTTGTACTGCTCCACCAGAGACTCAAAACGGTCTCCATCCCTCCTCTTAAACTGCTTCCTAGCAGCTTTGACCTGAAAACACACAAAACAGAAGAAATAAGAAGGTTTCACACTTAAGGAATTAAATTAACTAAAAATCTACTTAATTGCCAATTTTTTAATCTTGAAAATTATCCATTAAAATGGTCTAGTTGTTGAATATTTACATTCTTATGGCATCACACAACCAATCTGAAAAACAAAACTTCTCATGGCTAAGCTTACTTTTATCAGATAACTCGTCCATAGAAAGTTCAAGATTAATTTTGCTGTTCAATATTTTTAAAGATGATTCAAGAGAAAAGGAAAAAACTTCAAAGAAACATTTTCTGTACTTTTTAATTCCAGATTTTTATTTTATCCGTGATTTTCAGTTAAATGAATAACTTCTATAAACCCGTCAAACAGTTAGTGGATAACTACCTGTAATTAATGACTAGTGGTGTGTGTTTAAGGCTTAATCTATGTAACATCTTGAACTTGGGATGCTCAGATCCGATCGTGTGATTTTAAACGATTGGATTTGAGCTTTTAAAACAACAAACATGACTTTTAAAACTCATCCTGATTAAGAGATTTTCAAACTGAATAACAAAGATTTAGTTTTATTTCCAACAAGTTCCTCTACATGAATATTATTTGTTTCTTAGACGAAAACAACACTGTAACATCACACGATTACAGCAAACAGGGATTCAGACACCATAACATGTAGTTGCTTGTTAGCTGGCTAACGCAGAGCTAACGTGTCTCCTCAGCAGCGTGAAAATGTCTTTATTCTGGTGGCGTTTTAAACTGGCCTCAGAGGAAGTGTCACAGACACTTGTGATGTGTGCAATCTGAGCATTTAATTTGGTGAAAATGTAGAGCTGCGTTCAACACTATGAATCTGATACGCCGCCTTCAAAACAAACTACTTTCCCTTTAAGCTTTTCCCTTTAGGTGTCACCAAAGAAAATCACCAGTCTCCATTAAGTCCCAGTTTCCCAATAACAGTCCCAGTTCACTGCGATGAACGTGGAGCCAGCCGACAGTGAAAGACACGCTAATAATCAAAGAACAATTGCCAACAGGCTGTTAAGCATTGTGTTTTCCCAGTCCCCTGTAGCACCTGAGATGCCCACGGTGGTTACAAATGTTCTGCAGGAAAACGTTACCCTGCTGGCATGGCACCGGGCTCCTGCGCCATTATGAAAACGTGCATCGCTCAGTACATCCATATATTGAGGGATTAAACAACTTGAAATATGAGCAATGCTGCTACTTTTAAATATATTCATAATATTAACATGTTTGTCTATCAGTGTAACTCCTAAAAAAACCTCTTTACTTCTTATTTTAATGCTTTGCTGAAAAGTATCGCATCGGGACTCGGTAGGGGCAGAGACTCAAAATCAAACGACTCGGATTGGAAGCAAAAAACCGTCACAAACTATATTTCAATTTTAAACTCTAATCTGAACATTAAAAGCCAAAAAGCATTTATGATTTGATACCTGGTAAATGTACTGTTGGAAAACCTGTGCGTTACATGTTTTGTTATGACGCTCTCAGAAAAAAACTAAACATAAATCACACAATAGAAATGATTTCAACCTGGTTTCTGGGTTGCTTCGGCTTTTCTGTTTGTTGTCTTGGTTGTTTGTTCTTTTTAGCTCCAGGCTTTGGACTCTTAGCAGGTGGGGCCTGTTTCCTGTCTTTGTCACGTTTTCTGCAAAGAATAAAAATCAACGGTTTACTTTTGACTTTAGAATGCATTAGTCTGTTGTAATCAGCATGTAGACCAAAAGAGAGAACAACACATAAAACAGATTTATCTTAGTAAAATCTTCATAAAAGCTGTTCAATTATAGTATTTATTGAGAGTTTTATAAAGATAAACACAAACTTATAAAGAGTTTAGAAATTATGTACCTGATCTTTGGTCCCCGGTGAGAAGGAAAAGGCAGAACCCTCCTGCGCTTCTTTCCATTTTGTAAATCCACATGCTCGACCTCAGGTTTGGTCTGAAAACCTGAAAACTTTTTCATTTGTTTCTCTTCTTCTGTTAAAGAAAATAAACAATATATAATTATTACTAATGCCATGTGGACTCTTATTTATCTCATTATTAAAAAGACGAGTTGCATGTGACGTGCACACTTGTAAAAAATTTGCAAAAGTGAGCAAAACATAATAAGGGTTTACCAACTTTTTATTTTAAACTGATTTTAGACAACGATGACCAAGAGCTTTAATTTCAAACCACTTCAACAGTTTTTGCACAACGACTGAATGGATTTATTATCTTATGCAAATATTAGGAATGTTATGTCACCGAAGCACAAACGTCACTGGACAATTCCTCTGTTCCACTTCCTGCCTTACCTGTGTGCTCTGACTGTGCTTTATTTCCACCTTTTGTTTGTGTTTTGACCTCTGCAGATATTTGGGACTTCTTTGTTTCCCCCTTAAGAGACCGAGTTTTTAGGAAATCCTGCAAACATAAATGTTTCTATTGAGAAACTGAGATTTGAAGCTGTAAACCATCCCAAAACAACTTTAAAAACATACCTTCTGTTTTTGTTTTCGGATATCTTTGAGTTTGAGCTTCCTTGAATCCTCCAGGGAAAACTCAACAATTGGTCTCTGTAGGAAAACACAAAACATGAAGTTGTTTTAGACTAACGATGCTGATTTCATGGGTAGATCCACAAGTTCTTGTATCTTTGATTTACAATAAGGAGGAAAAATGACATATTTTGACTTTGCAAATTAATCGCTATGATGTTTTAAAAAAATTGAATAATTTAAGCCTAAACACGTAATTTAAAAATGATACAAACCTACCTTTTGAGGGCCAAAGATATTAGGGTTGTTGTTCAGGTAGCGCAGAGTGCTCAGAGCCTGCTCATGGTCCCGGAACTGAACAAACCCGTAGCCTAACGACTGTCCCGTCACCTGACCCTTCTCTGGCTTCTTGTCGTACATGACTCGGCACTAAAAGAAGCAGCACAGGATCAGCCCAGGATCACAAATCTATATTTAAAATTTAAATACATTCCGTAATTTCACCTCTGTGATCCACGCTCCTTTGACACCTTTCAGAGCTTGGAGGCAGAGCGCTTTGAGTTTTTTATTGTCCACCGACTTGGGCAGGTTATGGATGCACAGACGAGTCTTCGACACAAACACGTTAATGTCCCGAAGCTTAGCCCTCTTTACTTCCTCAAACTAAACAAAAAAGCACCAACAATTAGGAAAAAGGGGGAATTTAAGACTGAAACTGATCGTTCATATCAAGAAATGATGTGTGGCATGTACTCACTCTGGTTCTTTTAATCATGTCTAACTCAGATACGCCCTCTGCTGCCTTGGTTCCAGCACGGATCACTGAGGATTCAGACAAGAACGTAAAAAAACAATTTTGAAGCATTTCAGCATAACTGTTAATCAGATTAAAATAGTGTCACATTATCAGAGAGATGAGTGAAAAACAAGCAGCATGACACACGCACATCCCTCTCGGGCCAGGTACAGGTTCCTGCTGCCCGTCTGTACTTTCTTCTGATCCACCTTCAGCTTCGTGGCGTCGTCTCTGCTCACGGCTGTGACGATCAACAGCTTTCTGCCGTTCACACGAATGCCACCCTTCTACATTAGAACAAAGACGCAACATCAACTCAACCAATTATGTCAAAGAGTAACAGAAAACAAAGGAAAAGGTTACAAATGAATCTATATTAGATTTCCTACCTCCGCTTCATCCTGTGCTGCAGCGATGCAACCATCTGCAGCTTCTTTAGACTTAAACTGAGCAAACGCACAACCTGAAAAAATGTTAATAGGCCGATATAAGTCAATGAGCTATTTTCTTTAAAAAAAAAAACAAAGAGAAAGGCAACAGCTCAAGTACTGCTGACTCACCTTTTGAATGTTCTGTATCTGGGTGGAGAACGATCTTTACGTAGTTCAGCTCTCCGAACCGAAGGAGAACTTCCTCAAGACCTTCTTCATCCGTGTCAAAGGACAAGTTCCTGAATGTGATTTTAATTATGACATGATGAATGTGCTCAGAGGAATGGTAGTCATGGTTTCCATGAGCAACAGAAGTAAAGAGCAAAGGCATCCACCTGATGAAAAGCGTTCGACCATCTTTCACGTCTGAAGGCAGAAGTTTTTTAGACTTTTTCTGTCGAGCTACAGATGAGACGGGAAATGTACGACGACTGTTTTCATTAGTGATTAAATATTTCTGACAAAAGCAATATAAAAAAAATTCTAACCTGACTGAGATTCTTCATTTTCTTCTTCATCTTCACTCTCATCAAAATCATCATTTGAATCAAGGCTATCCCCACAATCTTCATCCTCACTATTACGCTCCTCATCATCATCTTCATTGTGAGTTTCACTTTCATCTTCATCATCATCGCTTTCACTCTCTTGCTCCTCATCGTCATCATCTTCATCACTTTCCTGAGCCTCCTCTTGCTGCAGGGCTGCTTTAAACCCAGCTCTGTGAGGATAACAGCAGAGTTTGGTAACAGAACAAACAAGCAACAAATAAATAAATTCATACCTTTTCTCCTCAGGTGGAGCTTGCTTCACATCTTCCTCACCATCTTCTGAGTCACTTTCTGCTTGAGCTTCTTTTGAAGCGGTTTTGCCTTAGAAAAGAAATGAGAAAACAGTTTTAGGTGCAGTCGGTGCTTCTGGGATGAATGTGTGCAAAGATCTGTGGACATGCGATGACACTAATTCCCATCTTTTCAAACTCAAACAAAAGTTTTCTGCAAACACTTGTTTTTGATGTTTTTTTATTACCATAGAGGAAGACTGAAAAGACCAAAAGTGACTATTTTGCTGGCAGCAGGAAGATGCATCATGTCACAAAGGTCAAATCCTCTTAAACTGGTTTATTGAACACGACAATGAGATCAACGGACAACGACCTCCACAGAGCTCTATACAATGTGCTGGATTTGGAGATTCACAAGCAGGATGTGCAGCGTTCAAATGAGTGATGCTATTACATCCATATGGACAAAAACCACTTAAGAATGTTAGTCCTATATTGATTAATGCATGCCACAGAGAATTAAGGTAGCTCTGAATGTAAAAGGAGGTCCAACCCAGTCCAAGGAAGGCATGCATACAACATTGGCTGAGTTTATAAATCACAAGTGACATTTGGTGAATTTGATTACCTGAACTTGAGGACTGCTGTGCTGTGACATATTTTTCTTTTGGCACAGCCCAGTCTACAGCTACCGGTCGACCTTTAAACAAAACAATTTATTTATCACAAACATGACTACAATTAAACTAAATTTACTGTCTCACTCACAAACCTTTGATCTCCTTTAGGTTCATAGCTTGAAGCGCCTTTTGGGCACTAAAAACGGTCTTCAACTGAACAAATGCAAATCCACGCATTTTCCCATCTATTTAGAAGCACATAAACAACAAACTACAGATAAGTTAACCCAAAATACAAACAATATCTAAATTAATCATACAGAGTGAAACTTTTCAATAGTATGTACCAGGTTTGAGGGGAATGGTGGCTTCAACCACTGTTCCAAACTTTCCAAATAGTTCTTTAAGATCATCTTCTGTGCACTGAGACATAAAACATATTAAAACATATCTGTGCAGACACACATTATTGCAGTAATACAAAACTATTCAGCAAACCTTGAAACTGAGATTCCTGATGATTAGTCTGGATTTCTTGGATCGTTTTTTTCTGAGGTCTTTGGGATTCTGCTCAGCTTCTTTAGGTGCTTCTTTATCTGAAAATGTTTTGAGTTATTGGAGGGAAAATTCTGTTAAATATTTTTAAGTTGGGATTTTATAACAACCTGATTTCTTTTTGTCTCTGATTTTCCTCTTCGCCACCATCACAGAGAGCCTTTTGCCATCATAATCTTTTATCTCCTTTATGGCTCGTTGGGCATCTTCTTCCATGGAATATGTGACATAGCCAAAGCCTCGGCATTTGTCTGAGCCTAAATTATGAACAAAACAGATTATGGAGGATTTACATAGATGTTTACTGTTATTTTACTTCGGTAAACCAGATATGCATGTGAGTGACAAAGTACCCTTTTCTCTGACCACGAAGCATTGTTTTATCGGGCCGATTTCGGAGAAGATTTCTTCAAGGCGCTCGTTCGTGGCTGAATCAGGCAAAGAAGCGACGTACAGCGTCTGCACTGGCATGCTTCTCTGTTGACAGCTAGCTAACTGCTAACTAACGAAGGAAAAACGTCAACTCTGGAAGCTGCTGTCAACAACTCGATATTACAAGTACAACTCACGAACCAAACAAACGTTATTACAAGGTTTTATAGGAGAATCATCAACTGCTACAATAAGTCGCATGTTTACATGTGAGAGCAGCCATGTTTCACGAGACAACAGGAAATTAGGGACGAAGTACCCGGATGTGGTAACTATAGTGTAGTAGTGTTTACCTGTAGCGCCACCGTGCGTCCTGGAGGTTTATCTGCCTGCGTTACCCTCATATACTTGTTTTAAGCAGATTTGTTCGACAACTTCTCTTCGTTAGAGAAGCTGTTTTATATTGTTAGTTTTAATTTCATCATTTAGTCAATGGATCAAACCTGCATACTGGAAAAAAGTGACGCATTTGTTACATTCATAATGAGACCTGTTGTAAATTATTTATCATCGGCATAATTAATAACTATGGTTAATAAAGAAAAGAAACATTCGCTTATTTTTACAATAAAAATGTACAGGTGCATTTTGGAAGGTTTTTTTTTCAGAAAGTTTTTTAAGTATAAGAAACTGGAATTCTGCCTAATTAATAACCTCCACCACTAGGTGGAATCATAAGCAAGTAAGTTAAGGTGAGTAGTCACCTTTTACAAAAATCCTCCATGTATGCATCTACTCCTATGTCCGATTGACTCTCTCACACGCTCACACACACTCACGTGCATGCATCTGCATGTGTGTGAGTGTATCTGTCTGCTAAATACCATTCGAAGCTTTGTTCCTTTTTCTATTGCTTTTATTGGTCTCTCTACAAGATATAACTCTACTGCCCGTAAGTCAAGGTCAAGATGGCAACATAAACACAGAAAAAAACATTACAATTACTGCCTGCATGTTAAAAAAAAGAATTTAATGTTAAACAAAAGTTTAGTCATGCAAATAAATCTAACTCAAACACACTTCACCATCTAAGGAAACAAATAAGCAACATTTCAATCTTTTTTGCTCTTCTTGGATGACATTTTGAAGTATTAATAGAGAAAGATGACACAAAGGTTATGGCATTTTAATGATGTGAAGCATATGATAAAAAGCATGGTTTTGCCAAATTCTGAATGTATTCCAGTTATACTTCACAAAGCCTTTCAAGTGTACCTGGTATTGTAAAGACTACTACAAATCTTCAGGTTTTAGGTAGGTTTAACTACATGACAACACATTTAAAATAAAAATATAGCTGCATGAAGAGCTTGGTTAGTCTTTTTGTCTTTTTTTAAGTAGCTTCCTTGCAAATAATGTCACATAAGTCCAAAACAGAAATGAAAAATGTGCAATTTCCCAAAAATGAATTTCAAAATCTATGTTTTTAAATGTATAGTAATCCTCTTTATGTCCACCTTCTAACATAACCAAAAAAAGAAGAATCAAACAGTCTTAAAACAAAATGTCACATTGATTGTTGAGCCAGTTTTTAGTATAGTATAAAGATGAACACATAAGAAAACTTCTCTGGAAAAACCAATAAGAGAGGTAGTCAACATATGAATAATCATTCTAAAGTCATTTTGGCTAGATGAAGTTTGTGCAGGTGCATTTATAAAAAAAAGTAAAACTTAACAGTGAGTAGAAGATCTGGTCACTGTAAACACACACTGTAGTGTAAAGTGCGTTTGGAGTCCTCTGACTGAAAGAAACTAAGCCTATGTCCATAAATCATTTGACATTGCAAATGATGTTAGTTTATGAGAAAAACACACTTTCAAATGGACGCAGGAACGTTTCGCTTACGTCATTTTATCAATTCATTAAAGCCAGTTCATCAAACCCGTGAAAGAAGTTTGGTTTTGTGATTTAGCCAAGGTTTTGAGCCAACTGCATTGTTTACTTGCATTAAGATGTTGGTAGTTTTTTCAGAGCAGCTACTGACATACAAGAGTAAAAAAACTGGAGCTAGGTGTTGGGCCAGCTGAATCTAAACACATTAAACCGTCTCACATCTTGGCCTTCAGAGGGACGAGTTGGAGTGACTGTAGGAACGAATTAAAGGTGCTCAGATATTCCTCTGGGTGCATCTTTAGATGACCTGCATGTTTTGAAACTTCCCACTTCTTTGTCGTTATTTCGATCCCGTTCTTCTGCCAGTAACCAGACAGCCTCTCCACAGTTTGTGCATCACTCATCAGATCGTTTTCACAAAAGTAAAACAGAGCGGGGGCCGTGACCGGAGTGTTCCAGAACACATCGATGCTTGCGTTGAAGTAGTCCACGGTTTGGCGTTTAAAGATGTTGAAGTAGAGCAGGCTGATTTCCTTTACCAGAGTCTCCCAACGAGGAAACATCGTTTTGCTGAGACCTAAACACAAGAAGAAGAAATATTTACATTTAGTGATAGTATAAAACATTATTAAAGCATTACATCATCATCATTATTAAAGCATTACATCAGATGAATGTTGACGTACCGACGGCCATGTGATCCAGTGTCCCCACCACCAAGCTGTCATACACTTGACCTTTAATCCTTTTAGTCACTGCCTCATATTTATGTTCGTCCTTGGAAATGTGAACCAGCAGCTGAGCAAACGTGTAACCACCGATAGAGAAGGCATGAACAAGCAGGGGGCGGGTGGTGAAACGCTCACTCTGGAGCAGATCCAGCAAGGTTTTTCCGTGGTCCAGTCCCCAGCGAGGCCACAGGAAGTCCTTCACCTTATTTGAAATAAAGAATCTGGAAGTTAAATCATCATAAATGCAAATTTCGGTAAGGAGCTAAACAACAAAGTGCAATTATTGAAACTATTACTAGTGAATCTGTTGTGGGACTGATCCAAACTAAAAAGAGACGCCTTTTGATCCGAATCAATTCTAAAATACTAAAATAGGGGAAAAAGTTTAATTCATTTTAGAATTTTAATTTACCATGCTTTGTTCCTGTCAAAAAGTTTAGATATAACAGAATGTAGCCAGTTTCTGAGAGCACATTTCATGAATAAATAAAATCCCAATTATCAACGTGCACTTTAATATTTAGACTGCTGGCCTTGTGTTAAACAAGACCTTATCAATACTTCTGCTTTGAAATGAGCCATTTATTGCATATTTCAGTCTCATTTTTGCTTAAAAGTCACAGAACAGTAGGAGTAGGGCTGCACGATATTAGGAAAGCCCACGATGTGCAATAACAGTGATTAATATTGCAAACACGATATTACTTGTGATAAATAAAAACTCAACTCAGGAACAAAAATGATTAAAAATACATTTTTTAAATGACAAAAAAAAAGATTAAAATGAGAAAAGCAAAAGATGCGAGGAAAGGGAAAAAGAAAATGAACAAGAAAAGGCAATCAGTGGATCCTGGGAAAAGCAGAATCAGCAGAAAGAGCGGAACAAAGCTAACTCGGGTGTTTGCTAACCATGGAAATTAAGTGCCGGGGGCGGGCATCTAACCTATGAGAACCCACCCAATTGGCCAAATGGGTGAAGAGCTCGATTTGATTTGTTAAAAAAACACCATGCTTTTGTTTGATTGACAGAATGCATTATGTGCAGCAAACAGTTGAGCTGACTATCGCGATATTTATCTGTTCTTTGCGATATGCATATTGCGCATGCTGATATCGCAATAACGATTAATCTGTGATATCTTGTGCAGCCCTAAGTAGGAGTGAAACAGATCTCTCCGTGTCTGATTAGACAACTTGTGTTTTCACCCTTTAACCCAGTCTTCTGGTTCTGGAGGACCACACCACCATGCATGTTTTAGATGCTCCATCTCAAGTGATCAGATGACTGAATCACAGCATGTCCTCAAATTCTGTAAAGGCCTGTTTAATTAATCATCTATTAAGTAAAAGAGTGTTGGTCCAGGAAATGAAAAATATGCAGGCAGTTGCCCTCGAGGTCCTGTCCTGCACAACTTGATCCAGGAAAACAAATATGAGCCATTGGTTTCTTTTGTAACGCGGTACAATGTGTTCAAAATGGCTGGTGCAAAGTAAAGTTAAAAGTTAAAGTTAAAGTCCCATTAGTTGTCACACACACACTGATGTGTGTGCGAAATGTGTTCTCCGCATTTAACCCATCCCCTGGGGGAGCGGTGAGCTGCAGACACAGTCGCGCTTGGGATCTATTTGGTGGTTTAACCCCCCAATCCAACCCCGTAATGCTGAGTGACAAGCAGGGAGGCATTGGGTCCCATTTTTTTCTAAGTCTTTGGTATGACCCGACCAGAAATTGAACCCTGATCTCCCAGTCTCAGGGTGGACACTCTACCACTGGGCCACTGAGCTGAGTAACGGGACATAAAACGTGTAAAAAGCTGCATCGCTAACTAATAATCAAACCTTTAGGCGATAGCGTACAACAAGACAGGCGGAAAATATATTTAGATCCGACCTTCAACATGCTGAGGTGGTTTGGGTCGTATTTCTCTGGTATCTTTTAAGCAGTGTGTGGACTCAAATCTACACCACAACAAAGAACCTGATATTGACCCAAAACAAGCAGATGTACAGAGAATACGCTCTCTGTTAATCATATTACAAATGTCTAACAGAGTGTGTAGTAACAGCAAATATGTGTTAAAATAGCGTTAAATATCTCTTATGAGCTGGTGGAGATGAGTTTATGCCTGTAAGGACACATTTAAGGTCACCGATTGTGTGGGTAATCCTTGGAGATGTTCTATTTTGTTGCTCTGCTTGCCGGTGTCATGTAGAATAAGCAAATAAAGCAGGCAAACGAGTTCAGATCACATGTGGTTACTCAGGACACTTGTTTACAGGGTCTAAAAGGGGGGGGGGGGGGGGATTTAAATTCTGCTAAGTTTTAAACTAGTATTTTCTCACATTATCAGCTTGAGTTTTGGTTATTTATAGTGTGCTGTCTAAGGTGGGTTAGTGGCAGCCAAGCTGCTGAGAATCTCTGAGGTGGTTCAGATTCAGCTCAGAGTTGAAAATGTTCACCCATTTTGGTGAGCTGAGTCACACGGTCCAGGATCCCGGGAGGCTGTACAAAAGTCTTTTAAAGCAGACCCATGTGACTACACGCTGCGCTGATTCCTTCACAAGGCATCAGTAAACACACACACACTCACACACACCCCTACAAATTACCCATAGAAAAGTAATCTTTGGAAAACAATGGCAAACATCTTCTGTACAGGTCAGGATGCAAAGGTCACCAGGGTGTCCAGATAAATACGGAGCTTTTCTCATGGGGTTAACAACGTTTAGTTTAATTTACAGATTAAATGTAACAAAGGAGGCTGCACAAGGCCTGCCCTACGGTGGGGCAAGAGGGGGCATTGACCCTCAAATGAAGTTCCTGGTAATCTACAAACATATATATCTTTTGGTCTGGGGGTTTACATGCCTCAGTGAGCTCAGGAGCTGCACCAGCAGAAGCTCAGCCTTAAGGTGGGGCACCATTGTAGGACAGGTATGGGGGTCATCATATAGAATACGTTTACAAGGCTTTGTACTGCCCATCCACATCCTATCTGACGGACCTGCTGACCCCATATGTTCCCAACCGTGCACTTCGGTCAGCAGATCATCTGCTGCTTGTTGTTCCGAAGGTTCGGTACAAATCACGGGGGAGCGTGCCTTCTCTTATGCAGCCCCAAAACTCTGGAACTCACTGCCCCTCCGTGTGCGTCTGGCTCCCTCTGTTAGAAGTTTCAAGTCGGCCCTGAAAACGCTACTTCTTCAGTATTGCCTTCCCTCCGTCACACTTTTCATGAAAATCTAGCACCAGATTTGATTTTTTAATTCCGCTTTTATGATTCAGTTACACACTTTTGGCACCTCGCACCATCTGGTAGCTTATTTCGTTTTATTTGTGCCATTTCAAATGTTTTTATCACTCGTTGCATTATTTTATTTTTATAGTGCCATTAACTGTTCTATTTAGTTTTTAGTAGGAATTTTTATCTCAGAGTATTTATGTTTTTTTCTTATGTATTTTGCCTGTTCTTATTGTTTCTTGTTCAAGCATTTTACTTTTTTATGTACAACACTTTGGTTAGCTGCCATGCTATTTTGAAATGGTGCTTTATAAATATGGTATGGTACACTATTACCTTTTATTCATAAATCACTTTTCTAGACACTCAGAGACGCTGTAAAAAGTCAAGATAAAACAAGCAGATTATCCATCAAGGTAAAGAGGTCAGAGGGGATGTGTGTGTTGGGGGGGGGGCATCAATGGAGAAACCGAGTCTCTCCAAGTCCATGTGGGGGAGGAAGAGGAGGGAGAGGGATGTAGCAGAGTGGTAGAGCAGGGCAGAGAAGTAGGAGGGGGCTGGGTTATGGAGGACCTTGAGTGTGATGCCCTGAGGAAGAGGAAGCCAATGGAGGTCACGAAGAGACAAGTAAGTAAGTAAGTAAAAGTTTATTTATATAGCGCCTTTCACGGATATAAATCACAAAGCGATGAGGTCACAGGAGTGGGTGTGGGTTAGGAGACAGCAGCAGAATTCTGGATGTCTTGGAAGTCTGGTGAGGGTTTTGGATGGGATACCATAAAAAATGCTGTAGTCGAGTGGTTACCTAGTTTTTTTCTTTGGGGACCTCCTTTCTTGTTCCCAAGACAAGCCAGGACCCCCAACCCCTACAGGCATATGCACATTAAATGTGATACTTTATCATTTTTATTGCACACATGCAGTTATAACTTTTACTGTAGGATGTCCTATTGGAACATAAATGTAATTTTTACAAATAAAATCTTGCTAACCTCAGCAAAGACTAAATTGTGGGGACCCCCAATTTGGGAACCCTTGCTGTAGTTGATTAGCAATGTGATGAATGAGTTTCAGGGACAGAGATGAAAAGGGAAGATCAGAGTCTAACAAAATGCTATTCCATCACACGATAAAAACATCCAGAGCCCCTCCAGCACCAAAATATGCTTTTTTTTTTCTCTTCCGTTGCACAGTCTGCCCCCTTCACAAGTCTGTCTGCCCCCTCAAATGTCAGTCTAGAACTGGCCCTGAAGCTGCATCTCTGCCTTCACCAAAACGACTTGTATTACTTACACAAAACCAAGCTATATGTAGTTTTCTCTAAAATTTAAATAACGTGTGCTGTAAATAAGATTGACATTTACAGATTGTGTAGTTATTGTAGGTTTGTGTTGTGATTTTCTCTAATAGGTCTTACCTCGCTCTCTACAACGAGTACATCAAAGCCAGAGCGGAAGTAGATATCACAGTACTTTGCCACAGCTTGAGGTCGTGACCCTAACCAGGGCAGCATCAACGTGAGAGGTTTGTGATCCCAGGAAGTCAGGCTCGACCTTCCGGCCACTGGAGGCTTCGGTTCATTCATGTACAGGGTGATGTTCTTATAGAGGCGATGGGCAGTAATACCACTGCTCAGGGCAGGCCTGGGTATCATTTCTGTTATTCCTTCCTGCAGATTTAGGTTTGTGGACTACAGATGTGGGCCAAGATGGAGTCACTCCTGCAAGACAGAAAAAGGAGAAAAAGAAGCGCGTGCGTTGTTTAGGGAAAATTTCATGTGTGTCTGAAAGTACCATGTTATAAAAGTACGTTAGCTAAAATGAGCTCAAATCATCTGCTGAGTTCTAGTTTCAGACCAGAACTCCAGTCGAGTAAAACTGACCTGTTAAGCAAGTTTGGCCGAAAGACGCTAACTCACGGAGCGTTCATCCGGGGACTAAATCTTCACCAACAATGAAAAGATTTAAGTTTAGGTTCAGCGCGTTCCTAACAACAAGAATGAGTCAAATTAAAGACTGTGTGGTCTTTCTCTGCAGTTGAAACAGCCTACACTTCCGAAAACACTGTAAAGCCAGCTCCCACGGCTTTTATAAAGCGCGCGCACAAATACTGGTTATTACGGTATTCGTACTTTGAGCAGCTTTCAAAATAATAGGCAACTTCCGGGTCTGCAGCCAAACGTTCACGAAAGCTCACAGATTTATTTATTTATTTACTTGTCCGTGGAGCTCAATATTTTTAAATCAATAAATTGCGAGAGTGACTCTCAATTAAAATTGCACACATAGGTCATATTTAATTAAATAAAAGAATGAGAAGTTATTTAGTTTTGTTTTATTTCAGACCAGGACTGCTATTTTAGATTTACTAATGAACAACTTCACAAGTTTTATTATTGCTATTAAAATGAAGTTACATCCACCAACAACAGTACTAACTGATCAGTATCATCTTCATTGTTATTATTATTATTATTATTGTTGTTGTTGTTGTTTCTATTATTATTAGAACACACATCTCTGAATGCTGCTTTTGTTTTGAAAGCCCCTCATTGCTGAGGACACCGTAATATCAGTTCATCTTGCGCATTCAACTTTTAGATTGCAGCTCCAAAACAGCCTAAAAACATAGTGCCACCTATTGGACAAAAGCCGGTAACAGGGATCTGTATTGTCCCAGGAGGATTCCAGAAGAAATGCTGAAGTAAAATATATTATTTTCTACATTTCCTCCCAGCATTAGCTTTTTGTCAGTTCTTACCCATTTAAAAAAATTGAAAACAAGAAAAGTGAGGCATAACAATTAAACTCCTTTACTTCCTGTGTAAGACACAAGCTTTTTATGTGACATGAAAATGTATTATGATAAATGAAAATAAAGATGGCCCTCAGTTACTTCAAGCTGCAAATATTCTGATAATGCAAAAAATATTTAAAATTTTAGAAATGTACTTTAGAATATGTTCTTCTGTAATTTAATGTAGCCAGTACTAAACTAAACAATCCATTGCTATTGTATCTTTGATCTGTCATGTTATAAGAAACCTTCAGCTGATCATTTGTTCATCACTTGGGATTAGGAGATTTTTTTTATTCTTGAATTAATGAATCAGGCAAACACCACCAAATCCATTCTATACCAGGTGGTGGCAGAAATGCTCTAGCCACCAATCTAGATTTCTTGTTATGAGATAACTTACAGAAACTGTCCGTCTGATTTGGGTTTAATGTGTGAGGCTCCTACTTTTCTCCATTTGTCTTTTTTCTTTGTTTTCAAGGCCCACTAGACGCCAACACAGTAACTGATGAACACGTAAAAATAAACTAAAACGTGTCTAATTTATTTAATTAAAATGAAAAAAATATATAAAAAATGAACACAATGTATACAAATACATAACACAAAACAAATTTGAATGAAAAGGAACAAATAGAACAAATACATGTATAATTTCTGCCTCTTTAAAAAAAGGGAAATTATTAACACATTCTAAATTTTAATTGTCAGACATACACAGAATATTTTTTCACCACAGTCATTTAATGCTCTCTGGACACAGGACATGGAAACAGTGAGGCAACAAGAGACACAGAACTGGAGGGGTTTAAATACAAGAGGGCTGGGAGCTTGGGTGATTGGGAAACGAGAGGCAGGCGGGAGCAATCAACAGAGACACAGGCTGAACCAAAAGGGAGACAGGACAGGGTGTGACACATTTTAGTTGTGAATCTCTTTCAACATGTAAACACTGACTCTCTTTTGAAACATTTTCTGAATATTAGTTGGTAAAATGCTTGTGTTTTCTCTGTACATTGTTTGCAATATGTTTCAATCTACCAAGTCATGGAATTTCTGTATTTTATATTTGATGAATATTTAGAACATTGTTAACTGTTTCATACAAAACAAACAAAAGTTCTAAATGTTATTGTTTTCTTGCAGCTTAAATCTAAAACCAGTGTTCTATGTTCTGTCCCATTTAGTACTGGGATCTCTTTCATTTAATTGAAACAATCTGATTTAACATCAGTCTTGAAAAAGAGAATTTGTAAATCAGCATGTTTCATCTTAAGCCCGCACGCTTCATCTCTTCCTAGAGCGTGGTATACTTTAGCCCTCCCGTTTGCTTGTGCAGCTTTGTCTCCGTGCCTCATCCTGACTGTCTTTACTCCCAGCTGGAACCCAGTTCCTGCTGACTTTGTTGCTGGACGATTTGTCCAAACAGAGATGAGTTGCTCAACATATTCCGATAGCAAGTGTGAGTAATTTGGCCATGTCCCTGACTGAGCTCATGTGTTTGGGCTGTCATTGTTCTTCTTCAGTCCTTTTATTAACGGCTGACTTGGCATTTTCCTGTTTGGAGTGGAAGTTCCTATCTCTCCATCTCTGAGCATCCGCTTCTCAAGCTGTACTCGTATAAATGAAATAATATTTCATTGGCAAAGGTTATAAGAAAAGCAAAGTGTGTGCTATGACAACTTGCATGACAAAGCAAATCTTTACTTTTTATGTTACATTCTGCGCTTGGTTTCCACAAAGTTTTCAGAATGCATTTTGCAGAGGTGTGACCAAGTCACTCCTTTGCAAGTCACAAGTAAATCACAAGTCTTTCCATTCAATTCTCGAGTCAAGTCCAAGTCAAAGACGTCCAAGTCGAGAATAAATAAATTCCAGAAATAAAGCTTCTTAAAGCTTAATTTATTTGCTCAAACAAGCAGAAAGTGCAACTGAAATAGATTATAGACAAAGTGCTGCTGCATTTAGCCGTACAAGATCACACCCAGAATGAAGAATGATTTGATTTTTGTCCATGTCGTGCCATTTTTGTGCTAAAATATCAAATATGCTCAAGTCATCATCAAGTCAACAGATGTAAGTCGATTCAAGTCGCAAGTCATTGGCATTCAAATCTGAGTCAAGTCGTAAGTCTTTATAGATTTTATCAAGTCAAGTCAGATGTCATTAAAATAATGACTCGAGTCTGGCTCGAGTCCAAGTCATGTGGCTCAAGTCCACAGTATTTTGGTCTTTTCAAAATAAAAGAAGAATTTACACATTTTTGGTAGAAAGTCTTTCCATGGAAATTAGCCAATATGAAGACATAAAAAGTCAATATTTAGCCCTTCGTCAGCCAAACAGAGCAAGTATACAACAGCTGTCTGTACTTCAGAGTTGCTTTTTCCAGATTGTTCCAAAGGTATGTGGATCAGCGTCTATTTTAGAAACATCTGTGGAATTAAATTAGTGCATGAGGTTACTAGACCCCCACCACTGGGTACTCGTGACCAAATTCTGTATACACATAAAGGTGACACTATCAAAGACTACAGCAGCCTTCTTTTCGTTTGCATTGGTTCATTTTTGTAAAATCAAACTTGACAATAATGCATGCAAGAGAAAATATAACCTCAAAGATATTTATTTAATATTACATTTTTATTACTTTTTATTGTCATTGCACAGGTGTACAACAAAATTGACTTTGCACTCATTAAAGACAGCTCACATAGGGAGGTAAGTGAAAAAAAAACCAAGGCTAAAATAGAAGTTTCTCTTTCTCTCACCCACACATACACACTCACACACACGCACGCATACGCACACATATGTTTATTCGCACATACAGTCAGTTTAAGGTGCAAAAAAAATTAAAAGTATAAATGTATACATGGTAATGAGACAAGTCTAAAACTATAAAGTGAAATATAAAGTAAACATAATATAAACATAAACAGTCACATGTTGAGGTATCAGGAAGAACTAGCTTAATGCTTTGTCCAGCAGAATCACTGTTACTGACCTCCTAGCAGCAACATTCAGTTCAGTGATGGCTCTTGTATAAAAGCTGTTCAACAGCCTGGTGGTGGATGTTTTTATTGCCCTGTATCATTTACCAGATGAAGAAGTTTGACGGCATGGTTATCAGGGTGGGTTTAGTCCTTTAGGATATTTGTGGTTTTTCAAAGGCAGTGAGTGGTGAAAATGTCATCCAGGGCACGCAGGTGTGTGTTTGTTATGTTCTCTGCAGTTTTGATTACTCTCTGCAGGGCCTTCCTGTCAGCTGCAGAGCTGCTGCTGTACCACACCAGGATACTGTTGGTCAGGACACTCTCTATGGAGCAGTGATAAAACCACATCAGCAGTTCTTGTGGCAGGTTAATATTCCTGAGAGCTTTCTGGTGCTCCACCTTTTTCCTTCTTGGGTGAATGATGATTTCTTTGGTTTTATTGGTGTTCAGGGTCAGATTGTTAGCTGTACATCAGTCCGCCAGCTACTGCACTTCTTTCCTATACGCCGACTCATTCCCCTGGCTGATTACCCTGGTTTCACACTGAAAGCATCAGCAGTGCAGAACAGAACAGCTTCAAATAGAATCCATTATAGTCTATGGACTGTTTCAAACCAGCAGCGACGTGGACATTTCCGGGCGTGTCCCAGAAGCGGCATGCCGCACCGCTAAATATAGGATCGGGTTCTCATTTTGCTGCAAGCTGCTTCTGGGAAACGTCAATTTTCTGCTGTTAACATAAAGCTAGACAGGAAATCGCACACTGTTTCAGTGTAAAATCCCTGGTAACTTTCAAAATAAAAGCACTGCAGTGATGCAATTTCATATACGTATACCGTAAATCCTCTAATACAGGCCCGGGCCTGTATTTTACTTAAGCTCATCAAGCTCCAGGCCTTTATTGGAAGGAGGGCCAGAATTAGAGGCAAACCTCAATTTCTATTTGAGCAAAATGAACTAATGGTTCGCTGGAGTTTTTGACAATTAAAATTGCGCCCACATTTTCAAAGTTAAACACATTTCTTTTAACAATGGTAGTTTCTGCTTCAGCCCTCTCCCGCCTCCCCCTGCGCAGCGGCCGCAAACTCACTGATGCGCCTGCAGCCTCTCAGAGTTCCTGCTGCTCTAAACATTAAAATAATTATTTCAGTTTCTGTTCCTCACTTCTGATTACTTTCAATGGTGTCTGTTTGTTGCAACCACCAGGTACAAAAACTAACTTGTTTTTATTTGACTATTTTTCTGTCCTGCGTCTCCTCTCAATCCTAAAGAAAAACTCTACATGGGTTCATATATATTCACCTTACAGTGTTGGGAGTAACGCGGTACAAAAGTAACTAATTACTGTAATGCATTGCTTTTTGCTGTAATGTGGTAATGTAAGGCACTGCAGGGAAAGAAAATGGTAATATTTACTCGGTACAATTGTCAGTACCGCGGTAATTACAATGCATTTTTAAACCCAGAATCAAGATGTGGGTTTCCTAAAAATTCAAATTGCGGGAAGCCTGAAAAAAGATCCAGTATCCACATATATTACGTCATTTATGGACTCAGCTTTGCGGGCATTCTATGAGCAGAGAGGACGCAGCGGTAATGGCTCAAATACTCCAGCTGTGTCCTGCGTGCGGCCGCTGTTATATTCACAAAATCGCTCCACCAAAACAAAGCAATTCGTTTACGATCATTTATATCAGCCCATATTCTCTGGTACTTCATGTACTTTTCAGCTGAGTTCATAATCTGTGCCCCAGTGGTTTCAAGTCATTGCTGCCAGAGCGCAGCGCATCTTAAGCTTTTCATTTTTTATTTTTTTGCAAACGGTAGATCCCTTTGGCTGATTAGTTAGAAAGTAGGAAATCTAGGAAACAGTTTTTCTGGAAGATGGAGAAAACACGCAGCATGCAGGAAGGTTAGAGAGAGAAAGGGCAGGAAATTATTCAAATAAAATCAAGAAAAAAAGAAATAAAGTAGGTAGATTTATCCCCAATACACATTTTTACCAGTGAAAAGCAATAATATATAAGCATTTAATATTAATACATGTGATAGAATCAGATCACCCCAGAAGTCAGTCCCACATCCAGGGCCGTATCAAGGCATTTGGGAACCAAGGCAAATACAGGCTTGGAGCCCCCACCACCTCACTCCCTGCTCAGTTAATATAAGATGGCTGCGTGCTGAGAGTACAGATTGTTGTTGCTTTCATTTAATAAACAATCATTTTAAAGCACTGTTATTATATCTGACTGTTTTTAACAGCAATTCTAGCTCAGACACCACATCACCTTCCACATATATGTCATGAGCTCACTGAGCGTCAGATTACCAGATTCATATTGAAGTTGTATTGGTGAAAGTAACAAAGTAATGCAAAAGTAGTGTAATGCCTTACATTTTAAAATCAGTAATATTTTAATGTAATGAATTACTTTAAAATGAGGGTAATAAGTAATAAATAATGCATTACAGTTTTGAAGTAACTTGCCCAACACTGTCACCTTATGAGTTACCTTTGAACTGCAGTTCTAAAAGATCTACCGACCGCGAAAACAGCGGAGTGCGCGCTGCTCGCCGGCCACATCAGTTAGGTGCGTCACTGAGGACAAAACAGGTGATGCGCCCGATCCACAGCAGTGAAAAGCATCAGGCACAAATAAAAGAATAAAAGACAGAAAACGTAAAAGGAAATGAGCCGACTTGAACGATTGCGTGTTAAATTAGTTTTTGAGTTGGTGACACCTGATTTGATAATGTTACTGTGGCCGTGCTCAGGACGCAGATGTCTGGAGCATGTCAACAATCAGAGCTTTGCATGTGCAAGCTGGTTAAGATTAGGATGGGGGTGAGGGGAAGGTTAAATTGCAAGAGGGTAAACGTCACAATTTGGTTAAGTGTCCGTTTTACGGCGGGTGTCAGTACCGACGCTCTGGCACAACGCGTTGCCTCCCGACGTGCAGGAGCTCGTCACCTGCTGACAGCAGGCTGCTGTCTTTTCCGTGGACTGCATCTTGCCTGTCATTATCACGTGACAGCGACTAGTCTATGACAGGCATAAAAAGTCACTATAGAGCGGTGAAGTTGACTAGTGACTAGTTCATACAACCCCTACTGCTCCCCAGAGTTTTCTGCAGCATAATCAGCACGCTCTCTTTGAACTTGATATCAAATTTTCGCCTCCTCTTCGTCTCCGCACATTTAAAGTTACCCTCGTGGTCTGTCACTGGCAAATCAAAAGTGAGATGGATGACACAACCGCCCCCGTACTTGCTTGTTACCACATTCCACCCGGCCACAATAAAAAAACGGCCATTATTCACCTCTGCCAACTCCGACACTGGCCAAAATGCGATACCCGGCAGTTAATTAAATACAGGCTAATATTAGAGGATTTACGGTATGAAGCTTACGTGTGACTCAATGGTTTATTTACTCACAGAAGTGTGTTTTACAGTTTCCAGCAGTGGAGAGGAACATCATATATGACATCAAACTGCGATATATATATATTTCCTTCTTTTTGGTTTTGTGGCGAATTGCATAAATACATCGTGACCTGAAGTCTCGAGGGATCATATGATCTTGCGAGTCCAGCGAAAAGCACAGTGAGGAAGTCGTGCCGCTGCCAAGACGCTCCCGGCTTGAAAAAGACAGCTTTGAAGTTTGCTAGTAAATCGTTCCGCTGCCATTTTGCGCCGCCAACGCTTCCAGTGTGAAAACGAGGTTAAGCCCACCATGGTTGTGTCATCAGCAAATTTAATGGTGGCGCTGGTGTTGATGTGTTGCAGCACTAATCTCTCCATGCACTTCAAAATGAGAGGTTTTACTGCTACAGGCATGTAGTTGTTGTGGCTTGTTGAAGACTTTTTGGGTATAGGTACCATTGTGGATATTTTTAGACAGGTGGGGACAGAGCGCTGGGACAGCAACATAATGAAGATTTCTTTGAAAACCTCAGCCAGTTCCCTTCCTGGAATGCCATCTGGACCAGCTGCTTTCCTCCTGTTAACTCCTCTGAGTGTACACTTTACCTCAGCGATCTGCAGGATGATCACTTAGCTGTTGCTCGCTGGTGTTGGAGCTGGGGTCATGGTTCCAGCAGTCTTCGCCTCATGACGGCCAAAGAAGCTGTTGAGCTCTTCAGCCACTCTTGCGTTGTTGTTGGATGGTGAGTTAGTGCTGGTCTGATTTGTGATGTGCCATATCCATTGCTATGCACGTCCTGGGTCTGAGTTGTCAAAGTGGCTCTCAATCCTTCTCCTGTAAGCCACCTTGGCCTCTCCGATGCCCCTCTTCTGCTCTGACCTGGCAGTGCTGTATTGTTGAGCATCGCCAGACCTGAAAGCTTTGTCACGGGCCTTAAGGAGGAACTTGACGTCTTTGGTCATCCATGGCTTGCTGGTCTTTGTTGTTGTAGCAGTATCTGTGCAATGTTTTATGTAAGAGAGAACCGTGGAAGCGTGGGTCTGAATGTTTTCATCTCTGAAAATGGAACAGTTGGTACTGTCAAAGCAGTCTTGTAACTATTCTAATGCTCCCTCCAGCCACACCTGAACCACTCTGGTCTGACTGATTGACTTGATTTATTGACTAAAATTTAAAGGTCAGATTTTTTTCAAATCACATTCAAGAGGAAATTATCCTTTTGTGTGTTTTATATTAATTTGATATAAAATAATTTTCATTTCTAATTTTTGGTAAATAGAAAAATAATGAATTGGTGTGGTTTTAAAAGAAAATGAGAAATTGTCATCTTAAAGCCACTTAGACCCAACATGTCACTTGTTACTTGGTGTATGGGAACAGATTCCCTGCATAACTTGTGTTTTTCTTTTTCTGACTAATTATACAATTCATAAAACAAAGATTAAATGACTAGAAAATGTAAAAATGTCAGTTTTACAATTAAATTCTCCCTTTGTAAGTAATGTTTGCACATAATACACATGATAAACGCAATAAGGTGCGCAAGCAGTATGCTTAGATAACTAAGAATTCAAAATTTGCTGTGACCTATTTTTAGACATGTTTTAGTTCCATGCATTAATCATTTGTTTTCATGATATATAATGAATGTCTGCTGTTCAAATGAATTATTCTGATATACTGCATTTACGAGCTGAACCGCAATAGTTATTTTAACCAGTAGCTCTAAATGCTGCTCAATAGCAGGTTAGCTGTTGGTTAAAGGACCACGTTTAGGTTTCTACGTGACTTTTGTCTTTCTTCATCTGAGCATTTCTGTCACTTTATCTAAATCTGTAATCATGCTGCAGCAAACAAGCTGACTGTCAGATCAGTCCAGTGGCAGCATGTGGAATGGTGGGGGTTGTCCGGAGGAGGTGGGGTCTGTCCCATGTGTCGGCCGCCTGATGGAGAGAAGAGGGGAACGGCACGGTGGGAATGAAAAGACACGGTGCTGTGCAGTCTAGAGACTGCAGACATCCAGCACAGAGCGACTTGAATGTGTTAAAAAGCTGCAGCAGAATGGACTACTGATGAGGTAAGAAAGCTAAACTGGTGCAACAAGAGAGCAGTAATGTCTCTTTACGTTGCTGTTATATTAATAGATGTTTGCATTCTAATTTTACAGTGAATGTATGTCAAGACTGTCCTCGGGTATAGTCACTGTAAATCTTTCAGAGTACTAAATATACTTGCTCTGCATGCTGTTTAACCTCCACATTGCAAATGACTTTAACTCGCAGTAATTAAAGAGTGTTGGTATCATTTGTGTCCCAATACATAGTTAATCTTTCAATTTTTTCCAGGCTGGTTCCCAAATAAAATCCTTGGAACTGGATATTTTTGAACTACCAAACATGTGATTGGATTACAGACATTTCCATCAAGAGAGTCGACCCTCGTCATGGGATTTCTGGGAAATATTTTACTCCTTGTTTCATCTCTGTCACTTCATGCCATGGCTTTGACTGTAGGAAATGTCAGTGAAAGAGACACAACACAGTTCCTCACACCACCCTCTCATAAAGCTCGTGAATCAAACTTGGCTCAAGGTAATGCTATGTTTGGACTGGAGAACACTGACTTCCTGAGTCAACTTGTGAGCTGGCCCTCATCGTCATCTGAGGATACGGACAGACAAGGCGTGCTTGGTGAATACAGCGAGGAGAGCACCGAGACTTACCCAGACAGAGGATCGACAACGAGAGAGGATACTACCCTCAAGGAGATTGACCAGACATCACAGTCTTCATTAGGAAATCAGCCACAGAAACTTAATCACTGGCAAACATTTAATTTTCCATCGTCCGAGAAGATCAATGTATCTGATTTAAATCAGAGCACAGAGAATGAGCCAGCAATCACAACACTCCAAAATGAGATAATTGAGAGTCAATTACCTTTTCTTCTACATGGATCATTTCCAAGTCCTGTAGAGTCTGCTGGATCTGGGGGTAAGTCTGGGCAGCATTCCCCATCAGCAGTCAGCAACAACTGGGAATGGACTAAAGGCTCACCTGCTTCCACACGAGGAAAGCCAAATGTATCAGATGATGGAACAGATCAGAGACACACAAAAACAACCACAGGTACGAGTCATATGCTGCACTGTCCAAAATATTAGGACATCACACTAGATTTAAAAAAAAGTTGGGCACTGATTTCAAACAGATTTGCTTTATTGGCTACAATTCATATCACAAGTCTTAAAATCAAGCCGTGTTGTGTTCATAAACGTTGAAGGAGGTCGATGTTAACAAAGCTGGAGTGATTATCCTTCATTTCAGAGCTACTGAACATGCCACTGCAACCATGTTGATCAGTTGAGTTGATACAGGTGAAGAAAGTTTAGTTGACAGATCAAAAGAGGTAAATGTACATACCACCATGATTTTAACAAGTTTAGCATCGCATGTTTGTTTTTATCTTTGCTGAATCTTTATTGACAATGGGGCTTCACTTCAAATGAATGTCCAGAAATAGGACACATTCCATTTTTAACCAAGCTAACCTTTTGGCTATGTTTTCATAAGAGCATCACAAAACAAAAACAGCAATGGGGTCAACACTGGCTAATCAGCACACCTCTCTCTCTCTCTCTCTCTCTCTCTCTCTCTCTCTCTCTCTCTCTCTCTCTCTCTCTCTCTCTCTCTCTCTCTCTGTCCGTCTCTCTGTCTCTCATTCACATGAACACATATGCACACAACTTGTTCTTGCTCCCATTTTTCGCTGTGTGACCCAGATAGAGCTTCCCAGTTGCAAGCCAGCTCTGTTTCATTATGGATTAACTTCACACACACACACACACACACACACACACACACACACACACACACACACACACACACACACACACACACACACACACACACACACACACACACACACACACACACACACACACACACACACACACTTTTCCATCCTGATCTCTTTTCAGAGCTAAAAACTGCAGTTAGCCTGATTTGCTTGGATAGCTTTCTTAATTTTATGAGAACAACAATTTTTCTGATTGGCAATGGTACAGGGGTGGCTTAAGGTTTAGGTATCCTATCCAGCATGTTTTAGTTGTTTCTCTGCTCCAACACACTTGATGGTTGAATCACCTGTTCAGCAGCTCATCGAGTTCTGCAAAAGCCTGCCAATTAACTGCTGATTGAAATCAGGTGTGTTGAAACAACAAAAACATGCTATATACCGGCCTTGCGGGACCAGGATTTGGCACCCCTGCAATAGCAAGAATGAAAACAATAAGAATTCAATGACCCAAGCAGTGATATGAGAAAGCAACGCTAAATGCCCATTAGCATACACGGGGTTAAATGTCAGTTCATGATGCTGATGTTCTTTTAATCTCCTTCATGAAACAATGAAAATAAAAATGTTTTGTGTGTTTTGCTTTACAGATGACTCCAGGAAAACCAGCCTGAACTTCTCCAAGACCAGTGGTACCTCTTTATCTGGGAGTAACACAGATATGTCCACCACAACCTGCAAGACCTCCGATCAGACCTGGACCCCCACCTACTCAGATGATTTTACTCCCGGCGAGCCCTTGAGCCCCTCCCTGACTCTCAACCCTGCTCTTCTAGTCCCTCTTTATTCAGACTGGAACTCTGCCTTTGCAACTTGGGGGTTTGCATGGGAAGCACACATCTATGGTCTGGGGGCAATCTTCACTCTGTTTGGCCTAAACTCTGGAATCTGTCTGTTGGGCTTACCCATACGGTGTCCTCCAGGATTTCAGTATTTCACAATGCTGCACTTCTTCATTTTGGGGTTTGCTGGGATCCAAGCTTTTACTTTGGTCTACGATGCTTACAGCTCTCAAGATCGACTCCCACTTCTGGCGACTCAGCTGATTTCTGAACTGCCATTGCCATGTTTGATTTCAACATTCTCCTTTGCCTTTCTTCTCCTTTCCTTGCACACACGCAGCCATCTTTCACTCCCACATGCTATTTCTACCTCTTGCTCAGCCTTGCCCAAACCTTACCTTTTACTATTCATGTGTCTGTTGTATTTTATGCTTTCACTTGGATGTTTTGGTCTTCTCCAGCTTTTCCAAGGTCTCCCTATTGTGATTCTTCTTTTCCCACATGTTATATTTGTCTTCCTCACCATCTTTTTATCATTCTCCTACCTTATCTTCTATTGCTTAAGGCTTGTAAACAATAAGCATATTTATAGGCTGAATGACAGTGGAGAGACTGGAGGATCCCCTGAAATAACACGACAAACAAGATGTCCCTTTTCCAAAGTAGAGGACTGGGAAAGGGCAGCAGGAGCTGGATTAGGAAGCTCACTGTGCTTGCTTGGATGTGGAGGTCTTCAGCTTTACGGGATTCTTCATGTGCTTGGTTTTGGTGGGGTAGATGGTTACGGGTTCCAACCATGGCCTTGGTGGGGCTATCAGATAGGTTGCAGATTCTGTGAGGCTGGGGTGTGTCTAGGTTTGTCCATTATTGGCACATATCCAATATTCTGCAGCAACAACTCTTCTATCAAGACTTTGACCAATCCCCGACCAGGATCATGGTCCCGTCTGTCTTACAGTTCCCCTTTACGAGAGCTCAATGTTCCCTCTGAAGATGAACCACATTCTCCGGTACTTTCTTCTCATGAAACCTGGCCCCAAAGTAAGGAGGAGAAGTTGGTTGTCTGTGAAGATGTCACCAAGAGGCAATCAGAGGTTCTTCCACTTTGTTCACTGGTGGAACCTCCAGCAAATGGAATAAACGTTGATCACAAGCTTGGTGAAAAACAAAGTACTATTCCCACACTTACACCAAACCCCCCCAAAAAATCTAAAACCATGGATGTGTCTCAGCAATCACTGAATAGCGTGGGTGCAGACTCAACCAGCGACTTTCGACCTCCATCTCCAATAGATTTGTCCCGCAGTATTGACCAAGCTCTGTTCAATGAATCTTTATTTTCTCACAGTATATTTGGTCCACAAAGACTGTCCCAAGGTTCATCAAGTGTCTCTTTGAGCTCTCCTAAAGCTACAGTGATAGAAGGACCTAGCTCTGTTGGAGATTCCCTTTTCAGAACCTCTTCATGTGGAAAAGTGGATCAGGAGAAATGCATGTCCAATTTCAGAGCCTCCAAACCATATGGAAGTTTGGCTTCTCGTTCCAATCCACCAATGCCACCAGAGCAACATGATTGGAAAGGGAGCATCAGTGGCTCAACCCAGGGTTTGTGCACTTTCCCCAAAGAAACTGGAAAGTTGCGTTCAAATTCATGGACTAATAGGGGGCAAAACTTTTCTCAAAGCAACTTCCCGCGAGGAATCCCCCACCTGTCTTACCATAGGCGATACCGAACCCTGAGCTTGGCCTCCAAGGACAGTCAGGGGTCTTGCCGGTTAGCAGGGACTAAACACCTCAGTGAAAGCAAGCAGCTGGAATGGGATACGGCTGTCCAAGCAGAGTTTGTTCATGTGTGCAAGCAAATTGATGCCCTGAGTGTTTGCAGTGATACCATTGACTTGTAGAAAATGTTTTTGTCAAAACATAAGAATATAACTAAAATGGTGAAAAATAGAATATTTGGATCACAGGACTTTGATGGATGAAGTAAAGCGTACATCACAGACAAGAAATCACCTGAAAGGAGAACTAAACCTAATCATTAACAAAGGAATTCAAAATCATTTTCCTCTGGCTGATTGTGTGATCCTGGTACAGGTTCAGCTCCTAATTCAGAGAGCTGGGTATATTGTTATGAATGGACTACTGTGATGTTTAGAATAACCGGTAAGTAATTATACCACAAGTTTTAAGGGGACTCTCAACATAGAAAAAATATGCCACAAAGTCACTGGAGGACTTTAGTTAGCAATGATAAACAATAAAAATAAGTTGGTAGTTTTAATTTCTCTCAGGATTATAATCACTAGTTTTCAACAGGGTCCATCCATCCATTTTCATCCGCTTGTCCGGAGTCGGGTCGCGGGGGCAGCAGCCTAAGGCAAGAGGCCCAGACTTCCATCTCCCCAGCCACTTGGGTCAGCTCCTCCGGGGGAATCCCAAGGTGTTCCCTGCAGGTGAGAGACATAGTCCCTCCACCGTGTCCTGGGTCTACCTTTAGGTCTCCTCCCGGTTGGACGTACCCCGAAAATCTCACCATGGAGGCGTCCAGGAGGCACCCTGACCAGATGCCCGAGCCACCTCAACTGGCTCCTCTCGATATGGAGGAGCAGCGGGTCTACTCCGAGCCCCTCCTGGATGACTGAGCTTTTCACTCTATCTCTAAGGGAGAGCCCAGCCACTCTTCGGAGAAAACTCATTTTGGACGCTTGTATCCGCGATCTCGTTCTTTCGGTCACTACCCAAATCTCATGACCATAGGTGAGGGTAGGAACGTCGATCGACCGTACAACGCCCACATCACTGCAGATGCAGCACCAATCCGCCGATCGATCTCACGCTCCAGTTTTCGCTCACTCATGAACAAGACCCCGAGATACTTAAACTCCTCCACTTGGGGCAGGACCACATCCCTGACCCGGAGAAGGTATTCTACCCGATTCTGAATCAAGGGGGTATTAAAATCAATTGTCTGCAAAAACTTTTAGTGCTGGGGGAGAGTAATAGTCCAATGCTGATTGTTAACCCGAGTCTGATGATTTAAAGTCGTCATCTAATTTTCTCCTGAAATTGTCTCAGTTTTATGTATGGACAACAAAAACCTTTTAAATCCTTGATGATCTTTTCAAATTAATAAGGTCTTTTTTAGGACTGAATAACAATAATGTCCCTTTGCTTTTTTAAATTACATTGTAGTTAGAAAAAACTTCCTGTTGAAGTTTTTACAGTGGGTTGCAAATAGTGTAGAAACGCTACCATCTCATTGAATAAGTGAAGGTCAAGAAAAGTGGAAAATAAAAACAAAGGTACTTTTTTAGCCTGTTGTGAAACATTGGCTTCCAGAGAAACAACTTTCATCAGAATTAAAATGACAGTTTGTCCTTCTTTATTTCTATAAATGCTTTACATAATGAACACTGTAAACAGTAGCTAGTCATAAAAATAAATGTATTCTCATCTGTAAGTTGAACGTTTGCCAAATGTACGAACATGAACATTAACATTTTTGTTACAATATCATTTACACAAAATTTTATGTTTGAACTTTTTGAGGTAAATCAGTCACAGTAGTTGTACTTTTATTACCTGACGTTGGAAAAAGAGGAATAAACTCTGAAAACTTACAACAACACTTTCTTTGTTATTCAGTCTGACTTTATGTCAGAGTGATGACCAAAGCATTCAAAAGAGCATGACAGACGGGCCTTGGTATCTTTGGATCTCAACATGCAGGTGCAGAACCCAATCATGACCCCGACAACCTAGAATCACTCTGGAAGGCATGGACGTTTTCAGTGAGTTAAGGTGCCCGTCTGCTGTGGAAATGCTTCTTGGTCTAAACCTCAAAATCTTCCAGAGAAGATCATTAAAACCACAAATAAATAAATTAAAAATATATATGCATGACTAGGTTATTTTGTGATTCTAGATGTGAGTGAGTGAGTGAGTGAGTGAGTGAGTGAGTGAGTGAGTGAGTGAGTGAGTGAGTGAGTGTCTCTACATGTGCCCCTGTGATGGACTGGAGATTTGTCCAGGGTTTCTTCCCCTCACTGAGATCGACACTAGCTTCCCACATCTGTGATCTGAAAGGCGTTTGACTTTCTATGTGCTCAGGTTAGACTCCAAATTTCATGTTTTTTTTATTTAATCTGCTGTTTACACACACGAGGCTAAGTTAGGGAAAAGTCCACTTAGCATCTTTGTAAAGCTCACATTTGACTTTTTTACAGCTGCTCCAAATTTTACAAACGACTACTACAAACATCTCTATGAGCACTTTGGAGAAAAACTAAATCATTCTATTTAAATCAATTTAATTCTGTGCCCCTGTATTAAGTTGATATTGATATTTAGCTGAATAAAACTTTGTTAGATTAAATGAAGTGGCAAAAGCTAATTATATTTCAAGTTGAGATGATTTGTTGTTGCCTAAAAGCTCTCTTTAGAAGGTGTGAACAAGACTCCTGCTTTTTATTGTGCCTAGGAAAAAGGGAAGAATCCTTAAGAAATGCAGACTTTGCAAAATCAAATGTTTTAAGAGTAGAAATAACACAGAGATAATAAATAGAAACTTAACAGAATTTAAACAAATTATTTAGAATTATTGCATCTATAATAAATGCACATGGAGAAATTTAAACTATATGTATAAAATGTTAAATTAAAAAGAAAATCTACCCTTTCCTTCATCAATGTTCTGCTTAAAGAGCAAGTCACCCCCAAATCACATTTTTTTGCTGATAAAACTATATAAAGGAATGTCTAATCATGCTACAGACACGTGTAGTCAATAATTTGGCAGTTCATTGCATCTTGGTTAAAATTAAAATATTCTGCCTAAAACTGTCAGTGTTGCACCGTCGTCAGGGAAAAATTCTGCACTGTATTTGAATTTAAATCTGCCACCGCTATTGGCTAAGAGGTATGCTATGATGTCATCTGGTATATTACGATGTCATAATGCCATTGTGAGCCTATGTGTGTGTGTATTTGTTAGCGGCTCCGCCCTCTCGGTCTGCCAAGCAACAGCATTTGTTGCATTTTTCAAACATGAAGTGGGAGTGAAGTAAGTTTCTTGTAGGGGGTGACTTGCTCTTTAATGAATGATATATTCTCACGCCTACTGTAAGATGATAAACAAGTGTTTGTGTTATTGTGTCTGTTAATTTGACTGCCTTCTGCCACCCGGTAGCAGCGTTGTGCTTAGCAGTTTGGTCACATGCGTCCATTGCATCTGCTCATAGCAGCTGGAGATGGGACGTTAGGTCCAGATCGTGTGTTTCCTCTTCCTCCTGCTTCAGTAAAGCCACTTCTTGTAACTACATTTGAAATGAGAGAGTCATCTTATCAGTAAAAGAGCAATTTTCACCGGAGATCAGCCAAATAAAAAAGATGATAAAGCAAGTGTACTTACATGGCACAAATGAATATCTAATATGAAAGCATGAGTGGGAAAATGAGGAAAAGGAAAAATTTGATGCTTTGGACAGGCAGATAAATTCCAAGTGAAAAACAAATTGTTTACTAAATAAATGCTGACTGGATAGGCAATAAGGAACTGATCACTTTAACAAACATGCTAACATTTATAGGAGAATGGAAACTATAAATAACATGGGATGGTGTGATGGGAAATTAAAAGGCCAAGTTCACTTGATTTTTTTTCAACACTTGTGCAGCAGTCTCTTGTAAAAATGAATGACCTGTGAGTTGATCTCTGTGGGGGAAAAAAAGCACTGGCGCTCCCGTTTCAGGAACTCGTCCTGACTGTTGGATAAAAACAGTATTGGATGTATGGAAATGATTTTGTCTGGGTACCATCTGGTGTTTGTTAATTCAAACGAAGGTTCATCCCTTGTACATATTTTGTTATTATTCTGCACCTCCGACAGGGAAGTTCGACCTTGTAAGTCTGCAGTCCTGTTATCACAAAAAGCTCCCTAGTTACGTCCAGACGGAGCGTTTCTCTGTTATATCAGGAACCTCGGAAAGTTGGCTTTCTCTGAAGGGGGCGGGTGTGTTTATCTTTAATGTGTGTGTGCTATGTTACTTGTGAATAAAACCTTTTGAGAGCTTCGGCTCCATGAGAGACCATACAGCTATCCCATTGGTGCGTGTCTTTATTTTCTCTCCGGTTTTGCAAAATCTGGTTGTTTATTATTGGTTGTTTATTGACAAATAAAACCTAATATCTCTAACCCCTTTGCGTGTGTTGGACTTTGTTTTGAGGTACACCTGGATTGATTAAATAAAAATACCCAACAGGATGGTGTGATGGGAAATTAAAAGGCCAAGTTCACTTGATTTTTTTTTTCAACACTTGTGCAGAAGTCTCTTGTAAAAATTAATGACCTGTGAGTTGATCTCTGTGGGAAAAAAGCACTGGCGCTCCCGTTTCAGGAACTCGACCTGAGCTAAGAAGAGATGAGCAAAAGACAAAATTCCTATTTCCTGAAATTTGGACATCTCACCTCTGATTGGCTAACAGCAATGCAACTCTACCAGTGACTCTGATTGGTTTGCAACGTTGATGTTTGATTTCCACAAATAACATAAGCTTTAAGGAGTTCTGCTGTGTTGTGTAGTTGCTAATGCTAACAGTTGGCTTCCACTAGCTGAGACGCGCTCTGCTCTCTCCTGGACACTAAATCAACAACAACCTCCCCCATCACAAGCCAAAACGGGTGAGTCCATGAATGCAATTTTTTTCAATGTGATGCTCAATTGTTACTGTCGCTTTTCTAATCTGAGCATTTCCCTGCTCATTTTCTATCGGCAGCTAATGCCGGAAAAAGAGTTAGAAGACCGTTTTTCCATTTAGCTTGTATGTTAAACATAGAGGGACATATATTTAGAAAATAGCAAGTAAAACTGGTTTCTCCATGAACTCGGTCCTTTAAAATATAAACGTAATGCTTACGAATGGAGACCATGAATTCCCCCTTCCATTTGTGCAGACATGGTTCTCTTCTCAAACTTCAACTCCCCTGAGTACATCATTGACCTAGAGACAAACAAAAATTACAGACTTTCAAAAGAACTCAAACTTCAAAAGCCTTTTTAGTAAACACACATACAATAGTTCATACTTACCTCAAGATGGACAAACTCCTGGCTCCTATGTCCTGGCAGCCATGTTGTATCCCAGCGATCAGGTAAGGAACAAACTTTTGGATGGAGCCTTTATCTTGTACTGATCCTGAGACTCCTTGAGCCACTTTTACTTTATCTCCCTCGCTAGAAAAACAAAATCCATGTTTAGTTTGTTATGTTTTTTTAAAGAACAATACAGACTTTATGTATACCTAAAATATCGTTTTTGACTGTTGTTCTTCTCCATGGCATCCAGAGACCCCATTCCTCTGTACTTTTTGAGACGCACCCCATCTGAAAAGAAATATTCTCCTGGCGCCTCGGTAGTTGCAGCTAGCAAAGAACCCATCATCACTGAAAAGAAAATAGTTATGAGACAACAGTTGAAATAGTTTTGTTATTAAAGTAGTGGTTGACTTGTTTAATTATTGCATTTGCAGTGGTCTCCAGTAGGAATGAATGTCTTGTAAGTCATTCTCGGGGTGGGGGACTATACCGGTGCACCATTTCTCAGACATAAAAGTTGCCCACTTCACAGCTAAGCTTCAGATGGCAGGTTTTGGAGTCTTATTTCCTGATATTACGACATCTCACCTCAGATTGATAACAACAATGCATCTCTACCACTGACTTGCAACGCTGATGTTTTATCTCCACAAATTACACAAGCCTGGAGGAGCTTCTGCTGTGTGGTAGAATTGCTAATACTAACGGTTAGTATCGACTAGCCAAGATGTTCTCTGCAGATTCCCGGACATAAAAAAAACAAGATTCGTCAAGATGGGTGAGTTCATGAATGTTATTAAACAGTGTGACGTAGATCTGTCAGGCTTTTCAAATCCTAGAGTTTCACTGTCAATTTTCTATCAGAAGCTGCTGCAAGACATCGGTGTAGGGGACTAGTTTCATGTTTAACCTACATGAAAATCTCAGAGCGACTTTAAAATTTGTTAATAAAGGAAGGCCATTTCTTATGACTGAAATTAAAATGAGTATCTCTGTATTCAAACCTGTAGATGCCCCAAGAGCAAGAGCTTTGACCACGTGCCCGACTGTCTGAACGCCTCCGTCAGCGATAACTGGGACTCCAAAACGTCTGGCATACTCGGCAACTTTGTAAACGGATGTACCTTGGGGCCGTCCGCATGCCATCACTATGGAACAATAAAGCCGGATGAAACCGTCCTGCACACCATTTCATTCCATGTAAACAAAATTGTGGTGTTTTTTTTTTATTTATTTTGGGCAAATTTGTAAAAACTATTGGTTTCTTATTCATACCTTCCTGAGTGATGCAGATGGAGCCACTGCCCATGCCAACCCTTAGTGCATCCACACCAGCATCTATGAGGTTTTTAGCCTGAGCAGCTGTCACCACTAGAGAGTGACAGAGGCACAGAGAAGAGTAGAGTGATGAAGACAATTGGATGTTTTATGTCCAACAACATTTTTTTGTTTTTCAAGGAGGGCACAGACTCACCGTTACCTCCAATCACTTGTAGATCAGGATACTTCTGTTTAATACAGTTTATCATGTTGATTTGATACACAGAGTTTCCTTGGGAAGAGTCCTGTAATCAAATACATTTGATAAATTATTCATTAAAGGGTCTTTTTGGCTGATATCAAGAGTACATTATATAATTTTAAAATTAATAAATAATAATAATAATAGTAATTGGTCATGTGAATAAGCTGTGTTGAGAACGAAATGCATGATTCCACTGAAGTAAACATCAATTTACCATTCTATGAATAAATTGAACTGAAACACTGTGTAATTTTTTTATTATTTAAATAAGAGTTTGCAGGTTTCTTTCATTTACAGTGTCTTGAAGACAAAGACAAAAACTTGATGACACATTGAGAAAATGTTGCTAATGGACTCAGAGCGTAAATACGGTAGGATGTTCAACAGAAATCAAAAAGCATGTTCATGCCACGCATGAAGCTCACCAGGACCACTACGTCCACCCCAGCCTGGATGAGGAGGTCCAGTCTGTACTTGTCATCCTCCCTGGTTCCGATGGCAGCTCCACACAGCAGCTGTTTGCGAGAATCCTTGGAGGCCAGAGGATAATCCCTGTTCTTCTTCAAGTCAGTTCTAGCAATGATGGCAACGAGCTCATCATCATCATTAACAATGGGGAGCTTACCTAGCGAAGGAAAGATCATACGGAAAATTACACTTACTTTTTTAACCACAGCAGAGCCTTCTGGAAGTATTAATACCTTTTTTGCTTCGCTGCAGTATATCATTAGCCTCCTTTAGTGTGACTCCAGCTGGTGCAACCACCAAGTCGTCTCTTCTGGTCATGGTCTGTAACACAAAGTGCACTTTTTGTTTTAAGAAACAACTGATTAAAAGTTTGGTATTTCCGCAGCTTTGGTTTTTACAGACAGATTTTCTACTAGATAAGTGTTACCACCCCACACACCTCTTCTAGAGGTCTATCATAGTCCTTTTCAGACAAAAAATCGATATCCCTGGAGGTCACGATGCCGACCAGTTTGCTGCCCATCTTCCCGGTCTCGGTCACTGGGATTCCGGAGAAACCATGGCGTCTCTTGGCTTCAAACACGTCCCTGACTGTGTGATGAGGACTCATTACCACGGGGTCTGTGATGAAGCCCTGCTCAAATTTCTGACCAAAACAAAAACAGAAGCCATGAGTGATGAAGACATTTCAGCTTAGTAATTATCTTGACTTTTTCTATCTGACCTTGACTTTTCGCACTTCATTGGCCTGAAACTCAGCAGGGCAGTTGTGATGGATTATTCCAATCCCACCCATCAACTGAAGTCAGCAAAATGATAAAAAAAAGATATTTCCCAACAGATATCATTAACAGGGGGCTTTTTCTCCAACTAGTTTATCTAACTGAGACTTTACAGAGCTGATTAGTAATGATGTGTGCCTGTTAAATTTCTATACTCACTGCCATGGCGATCGCCATGGATGACTCTGTGACTGTGTCCATGGGAGATGAAATGAGAGGGGTTTTCAGGGTGATTTTTCTTGTCAGAGCAGAGGTCAGATCCTTTGAAGCAGAATGCAGGTGGAAATAAAAGCATCAGCCTAATGCTGGGCGACATCATTTATTATAAAAGGTGCAACATAACGAGATAAATCGAAAAACAGCCAAGCGAAGGCAGTGTTCTTAACAGTGTTTTTCTTATTCTATACCATGCAAATAAATCTTAAAGCCAGTTTGGCTGCATTAGTGGCTGGCTTTGCCTGCTGAGTGTAAAAGATGCAGGTCTGTTTTTGAACACCGGCTAACGAGCAAACACCCATGTGGCCAAGGCTACAAATTAATTTATTGTCCCAGCAGAGTTTAAAAAGCAGAGCGAGGCAGACAAACAATCCTCTGCTCATTTAAGTATGGTCTAAAAAATTCTCTTCAATGTCATAAAAGACACAAAAAGTCTCGTGATTTTTTGGTAATAAAATTGCAGCCATGAATGAGATTGTAGCTTTAACTTGGCTTGTAATAAAAATACCATGAATGTTTAAAGGGGACTTATTGTGCAAAATTCCCCTTTTGCATATTTTGTGCTGCCATGTGCATCTCTACTGCGTCTCTAAGCACTCCAGACGTGAATAAAAATCCATCAGTCTGCTTTCTGTCAGTGTTTGGTTTAAGGAACTATGAGCCTTAAACAAGCCTCTTCAACAAGTCCCCATTTGTGATGTCACGAATGGGGAAAGTAGAATAAAATCACCTCTCACGTGTCAGAGAGCTGCTGCTGGAGGAGCAGCGGATCTAGTCTGAGCCCCTCTCAGATATCAGAGCTTCTTAGCTCATAGCAGCCTGAGCGGGGGAGGGGTGGGCGTGGCCAGATCCAGCTTTTTTTCTTAAAGTGACAGAACCCTGAAACACTCATTCTGGATGTTACTGACAGTGTCAAGAATAAAACAGCTGAGACTGCTTTATGTGAGAGGGATTTTGTGTGGAAAAATGTCATAAACAGGTTTTGTATCGACTATAGAACAAGTATAACTTAAGAAAAAAAAGCCATAACACGTCTCCTTTAAATATAACACACAAACACACACACACACACACACACACACACACACACACACACACACACACACACACACACACACACACACACACACACACACACACACACACACACACACACAAGCATGCATTGTGGTAATACTTACAACTTCTTCAGAAGTGAAATCTATGAAACCAGGGAGAATAAGGAAGTCACTGGAAGGAGAGAGGAAACAAGAATGTAATTTCCTTCCAAAACTTTAAATTACTGTATTTATTAAACACAGAAAACAATCTAAAGTATGTGTTTGCCAGAAATAAAAAGTGTGCCACAGATTAACGCACACACACACACACACACACACACACACACACACACACATATATATATATATATATATATATATATATATATATATATATATATATATATATATATATATATATTATAGCATGATATTTGAAAGTAAATGTGAATGCATGCATTTTGATAAAGTTAGGACATTTTTATTTTCAAGATTAAAATGGGTTTTAAAATCTCATGGATTTCCAATTTTTAATTAAATTATCAAACATTTTTGATGTCCTAAATTCTTAACATTTGTCATTTTATACAGAGAACTAAACCTATATTTAAAAAAAAGTTTTGCTGTGGCAACACTTTCTTAATCTAAGAAAGGGTCCTTCCTAAATCCTGCCAGTCCTTTTTTTCTAAATCTGAATCGACTACTATGACACTCTCAGATGAGTACAGTTTTACTGAGGGATGTGGTTCTTTTGCAACGATGGGGTTAAAGGTGCATTGTGTAGAAATGAAGTGAAAGTGACATCCTGTGGTAAAATTTGGTCACTGCAATCTTTTTAAAGAAATCTGGAGCTTTTTGCTGGCCGTCGTCAAATTACAATTGTCCGCACTGCAGTATTAACTTGCTTCAGATACGGCAACCTCACACTCACTGATGTTAATCAATAGTTGCGTCCCTCCTTCTTTTGTTTTTAAAGGATCAAAAAGGAGAATCCCCAAAGCCAGCTGGACATTAAACATGTTTCATTTTAACCTTCCTTCTGAAATGACTGAAACACTAACACTTTTGGAATTTTCTCACTGTAAAATTCTCAATATATTCTTACATACTGCACCTTTAAATTATCTCTCAGCAGTTCAACAAACTGAAATTCACCCAGATAAACCCCAAACATCCCATCTGTTATGAAAACTGCTTTGACACCTATTAACACTAACAGCACCCTCTTATGTTGCTCATCCAACCCCCACCCCTCTCTTTCTACACACACACACACACACACACACTCGTAGAAAGTATTACTCATAATAATCCTCCATTTAAAAGCTAAGCTGATGTGATGTCTCTTTGGTGTAACTATCAACAGAGATGAAAGTGGTTTTTTTAAGTGCGCATCTGATATCCGTGCATTTGCTGGAAGACATACTGACCAGTTTTCCACTCTACCACTATTCTCCAATAACATTATTTCCTGTTATGTCAGCTGCTAACTTTTTGTTCTCTTTTAGTATTTTTCTCTCCAGAGAAGCTACACCAGGGCTAGAGTTCTGCTGAGCTGTGATACCTTCCTGGAAGTGGCCCTCGGCTGCTTTACTGCTACCGAACACTGAAAACAAGCTGGCAATTTTTTCTTGTCTCTAGCAACGTTCTAGCAAAGCATAGCTATCAATATTATTTTTTTTTAAATCTTCAACTTAGACAGTACTGCTACTACTATTTCATCTGTTTATTTTGTGTTTTGCTCTGTCTTTTCAAACCCCAACCCTTCCTGTTAAAAGAGTTTTCCTCTCCACTGTCGCTACATGCTTGGGAATAGTTGTAAAGTCACTGAAAGTCAGTGACTTGATACAATCTGCTGGTATTCCTTACAAAACTTTGTACTAATTTGAATAATGAACTGAATTCAATGCATTGATTAGTGGGTTTGATTGGAACGCGTGCTTGTAAAGTATCTTGAGATGACTTGTTAATTGGCACTAAACTGAAATGAATTAAATCTGTTACAGCATGTTAGCAATGCCATTTTAGATTGAGAGATGTTGTTGGAATCAACGCTGCTTTTCTCTTGAAAATTAAACTGTGCATGATGTAAAAACACCTTTTCCTGCTTAGCAGATAATTACAATGAGTTTTCTTACTTGTACGTCAGTCCGTCGCCGATAGCAAACAGCTGCTGTGCTGTGAGTCCATCTTCAGGAACATAACCTGTGCCCCCACTGATCAAGTAGTCAGCCATGCTGAAATGAAACAAAAGTTCAGAATTGTTCAAATCAAATAAAATCAAATCGCTTTTATTGTCACGTCACATGTGCAGGTACACTGGTACAGTACATGTGAGTGAAATTCTTGTGTGCGAGCTTCACAGCAACAGTTGTACAAAATACAATAACGTAAAAACAAGCAAAATATAAAAATGGCTGATCTAAGTAATAATATATGTAGTATTTAAGGTATATACATTCCTAAATGTGTGTGCTAAGCATTTTATTTTTTATTTTTCTACGTGTGTGCATGTGAGTGTGTGTATAATGCGTACATACATATTTAACAAATGAATAAAGTAAACAATAAAAATAATATATTGTTATAAAATTGAGGTTTAGGGGAATCTTGACAATTTTTAATACTTGCATAAATATTTATCTATTTTTTGCAAGTAACAAACCCTTTGTGTTTAATGCTGGAGTCCATATAGAACATGTGTTGTCTTAATAACACATGTTATGTGATTTGTCAGTTTCTTAAATTTGATGAGCAAATCACGTTGTTTATCTCACTTTTGACCTCTGTTTGACATCTGCTGGGTTCAGGTCGGAAAAGCAGACAACTGCCAACAAAAGGAGCATCAATGGAAACTATATATACGTCTGCAGCAGTACAGTCGTTAAGAGGATTTGGTCAGCTGCCAGGCTGCCAGTAAACGGGCTTTCAAAAACCATCAGTTGTTGCTAATAGAGAATAAAAACACCTTTGCTGGTACCAGGGCCACAATGTTTAAAAGTTATGAGTTTTCATGTGACCCAGGCAGAAATGTTACAGAATAAGGAGACAAACTTCTCTGGTTCGTATCCAGCTTGGATTCTCGTGGCGCTGTAACGCTGGGCTGCCGTCTCATGCCCATGTCCGTGTGATGATGGGTGGGCATGACCCAGAAAGGGAAGTGGCTGCTCCCCGTCTCTGTTTTGGACGCAAGGCCGTGCTGGTTCCATGTCTCCCACGATCCTCCTGTAGTCAATCTGGTAGCTGTCCCTGTCACCGTCTGCAAATCGGTCATAAACCTGTCCTTCCATCTCTGGGGAATCCAGGATTCTGACCTCCACCGGCTCCTTTCTGTCTAGCAATCAAGCACTTTTATCTCACTGCATATCAACAAGCAGGATCACACCTTCCACTCCACGTAAACACAGGGATCAGCAGGTCCTGAGAGACACACTCACTTTGCTGTTCACTTACACGCTCAGGCTTGGAGTTCAGCCTCACGTCTCTTAAATGCTTGAAAGTAAATAGTCAGGAACAAAACATGGCAACCTTAGGTTTGCAGGGAAAATCTTGAAGGTAGGAACCACCTGTTTAAAAAGCGAGATTCTGCAGCAATAAAAAGTTGCTTTAAAAATATTCGCCTCAAGAGAAAATCCTGTTCCTGTTTGAAACTCTAATCCTTAAAGTCAAGGAAAGGATTGAATGTCAGATTTGCCTTTTCTTCAGCTTGAAATAAAAAAGAAATAAAGATTTTGGCGAGGTCTAGTTTAGTTGTCAGATATTTGTTTCCTGCCCGACATTCTCACATCCCATAGGTGCTTCTCTCCACTCTGTTCTCCTGCAGGCTGCTCGGCTTAACTCTGTTTCTGACAGTGGCAGACGTCACTCTCCCATCTCACAAAGAGGATTGGGAGCATTAAAGCAGGAAGGGGTGGAGTGACATGGGTGTGTAGGGTGGAGTGAGGAAGTAGGGCTGCGGAAGAAGGGATGGCACAACATGACACTTAAACACTTTTACCTCGAAGGATTACGTTAGTGTCAGTGTGTGCGTGTCAAGGACACGGAGCTGTGAATGGAACAAAGGTCAAACCTTGGGACGATGTCACACAGCATAGATGGCTTACAAACTCTTACAAGAGGCATCTGGAACTAATCCGCAACTCAAAGGAGGCTTGATTATATTTATTAACTATGAAAAAAAAGTGCTAAAAATCACAATATATTATCAGTTTTAGCAACATGAAAGAGAAACACAAGGAACCAATTGGACAAGTTGTGTTTTTTCCAGTGTTGCAATAAATGATTAATATATTTGATAGTACAGGAGAGTGGTTTAGTTTGTGCAGGTGACTGTTTATGTTTATGGGATTGAACCAGAAAATCCTCTTATTCTGTCTCTGTGTCTCTCTGGATCCACGGCTCCCCCTTTAGGTGGATAAATAACAAGATAAACAATTAGTGTCACTTCTGGTGAAACCAAAAATTTAAAAAACAAGATTTATTTAAGCGCCTTGGGGGGTTGTAGAACTTTAAGAAGACGCTATACAAATACAGGCCATTTACCATTGGATGGCCTGTATTTGTATAGCGTCTTCTTAGAGTTCTACAACCCCCCAAGGTGCCTCAAAACACAATCAGTCATCCACCCATTCACACACACATCCACACTCTGGTGAGGATGAGCTATGATGTAGCTACAGCTGCTCTGGGGTGCAAATATTAATTTTAATTACCTGAGTTTCAGATGCAAAATAAAAACAAAATCAATTTGACTGGTTAAATTTTTATTTTAATGTCATGCAACATATATCTGAGTAATCAACAGCATGTTTGGATTTTATGTGCACAAATGGGATAAAAAGGATCAAAAATTTCATCAAATTGATAAAACGTGAAGAGATTATGAAATATAAAAATGTGAGGAGCTCCAATTGCAGCAAAATCAGCCACCTAGTGGGAAGGAAAATGAAATGTCAAAACTTAAAAGGCACAAATTAAACTTTGTATTATTAAAAAAAAAGAAGATGCAAAAATTACCAAGGTCTTCTATTAAATACGGATTATTTTTTTTAAGGGAATCAAAGAAAGCAGCTTTGACCGCCGTGGAAGATAAACTTGTCTCATACAGCTTTCTCATTTGACCCTGGTGAGTTTTTTCAGCTTTAATGCTTGAGTAAGTTTCTCGGTGGACCATGTTTCCAAGCTCATCAAGAATCGGCATCACCACGGTGTTTCTTTGTATTAAAGTTGCTCTCATGTCGTCGACAAACTTTGCTGTTTTTGAGGAGAGCGAAGAAAAATGGGTAGAAAGCAAAATTAAATGTTTTATCACTTTTCGCCTTATTTTTACAACAGAAAGAAATGGTGCAGACAAACAGATACACACCTTTCTGTTGATCATTGAAGTGCTGTTGAATGCAGAACATAACTGTTTTAAAAAAAAAATTTGATCATTGTTTACATCAAGTTGCTGCAATTGTGTCTTACAGGCAACTCCACATCAGTCAGAGGCAATCCGAGTCACTCATCACAACTTACCTGAGCCATCTTTTGCTGAACTCTAGCAGAAAGTGAGCAACCTCAAAATCTATAACAAGAGAAAGAGCAACATGTGTTAAAATGCTGAATTGTTACTTCTATGTTTTACTGAGCAACTTTGCACATATACCCTGTTGGACAGATAATGTCTCTTATCACCTATATGCAGATGATATTCAGCTGTACTGCTCCTTTAAGGATTCTGAGTTCTATAAAATGTCTGAACTGCTCGAGTGTCTATCAGCGATCACCAGCTGGCTAGAAGATGACATCCTCCAGTTAAACTCTGAAAAGACTGAATTTCTGATCATTTCCCCTGAGAGCATGGTTCCCCTGATTAGTCTAAGACTTGGTCATTTATCCTCTGCCATCAAGACGAACTTAAGGAATTTGGGTTTTGTTTTTGACCAATCAATGTCTCTTGAAGGTCACTCAAAAATGTTGGTCCGAAACAGTTTTTGTCATTTAAGAAATATCTCCAAACTTTGAAGGTTGGTGTCAAAATATGATTTTGAAATGGCTATCCATGCCTTTATCTCCTCCCATCTAGATTACTGTAATAAACTAAGAAACATGTTTTAACAAAAGCGCTTGATCACCGTCAGTTGGCCCCGAACTCTGCAGCGAGGCTTCTAACTGGAGCAAACAGAAGAGCACAAATCACTTCTATTCTAATGTCTCTGCACTGGTTACCCGTTAACTTTAGAGTTCATTTTAGAATCCTGATTATAACTTTCATGCTCTACATGGTCAAGCTCCTCCCTATATTACTGAACTGTTAAAGCCTTCTGCTCCAACCCGAGCCCTAAGGTCCACACACCAGAACCTTCTAGAAGTTCCAGAGACCAGATATATAAGTCGAGGTGATCGCTCCTTCTAGACTGTTGCACCCCGACTTTGGAATTATCTTCCTTTATCCTTACGTAACATTGACAGTCTGGATACTTTTAAAAAACACCTAAAGACCCTTTTATTCAAAGCTGCTTTTACTTTTATTTTTCCTATTTTTAACTCAAATTTGTGATCAGCTTTCATTTGTTTTATGAAATTTTATAATTTTATGACTTTATTTTTTCCAAAGTTAACCTATATCTGTTTTGATCTATTCAATTAAATTCAATTCAAGTTTATTTATATAGCGCCAAATCACGACAAGTCGTCTCAAGGCACTTCACATAATAAACATTCCAATTCACAGTTCATTAAGCCAATCAGAAATAATGTTTCCTATATAAGGAACCCAGTAAATTGCATCAAGTCACTGACTAGTGTCAGTGACTATACAGCACTCCTCATCTATGTGAAGCACTTTGTGATTCTATGTCTGCGATAAGTGTTATCTAAATAAAATTTACTTTCTACTTACTCTCCTTCGAGGCCATTTTGTACGATGGAGGTCCTTATCTAACATTTAAAGCTAAGCCTAACCAGCCAAGAGAGGAGGTTAAATTCAGCTACTTGGGTCGAGAACCTCCTCTTTTCTGACACAATCCAAATATCATGACCTCAGGTGAGGATTGGAACAGGCATAAAAATAAATTGAGAGCTTTAACTTTTAGCTCATCTTCTTCTTTGGAGTAAAGTTTTAATTTTTTCATCCACCTGCCTCAATCCTCATATAAAACCTCTCTGATTTCTATTAAGGTAGTGCAACTCCGGTTGCGAATGACCATAGTCACCAATTCTTGTCATGTGTCTATGTATGTATGTCTGATCTCAGAATTGTGTGTACTGAAACTCTAATTTCCCTCTGGGATTAAAAAAGTATCTTTGAATTTGAATTGAAAAGAAACAATTTCACATAATGTTTTTCATAAGTATGTTAGATGATTAAACTCCACTCACTGTAAATCCACTCGGCTGTATCCACCAGAGGTTTGAAGACTAAGTTTTGTCCAAAGCGGTGACAAAGACGGTGACTTCCTGTTTCCTGTTTCTGAGTCTGCGCAGGATCAAGTTGCCAGGGTGGGTCTTTAACTTACGTCAGCACATTAAGCGACATACATACCCCAGCTAGTAAAGAGTATGAGTTCCTTGATCCGCTGGTGGTGGCTGATCATATTCACACTACATCAGCCTGTGTTAAATATATCATATAGGAGACACACACACTTATAGTTGAGAAGTGAAACAAAGTTTATAGGATTTACAGAAAGTGTGCAATAATTGTATAACCAAAATTAGGCAGGTGAATAAATGTGGGCACCACAAAAAATAGATTTACTCAGTATTTAGTAGATAATAATAATAATAAATAATAATAATCATACATGAAGATCTTGCAAGAGAATACACAGAAATCATTAAAACACCAATAAAGAGCCCAACCTGGCTAACACAGGGTCTAACATACAGTATCTGCTACCCAAGACCAATGACACAAAAAACCCTAAGAACTACAGACCAATCACATGCTTACTGTAATGGTTTAATTTACATTTTATTTAATGAGCCATAAGACATAAGATTCCATAGTAAATATGAAATCAACCTTATGGATCTGTGGGTACTGTTTTTACCAGAAGATTGGAACTTTTAATTGCAGAGATTAGATTACAGCTCCGTATTAACTCAGAAACAACAGAAGAGAGAGTCAAGTTTTGAAAGTTTAAAGATTTATTACTAAACAAATTAAACTAGACTAACTTTAACACTAAATGTATGGTGTAACTAAGGTGAATGAGACGGAGAATGGTGTAGTGTGGAACGTTGCTCAGAACCAGCAAATCTGAAGGAACGATTAGTTCTGGTGGGAAATGAAGGTGATGTCTTCGCGCTAAGCGTTGGTTAGGAGATTCATAAACACATTCGATGCCATTCTGTCAGTCTACGTACCTTTAGCGGAAGTCCCCGTCTAGATCAGGAGGTGTAGAGGTCCAGCTTGACCTTTGTGGAGCCGAAGCCTGTAGAAACAGCCGCGGCAGCCGACCACGAGTCTTGAGATACTTCCGGGTCATGACAGTTTATCGGCATCAAACAAGACCCAAAATGGGGTCGTGATAGTTCAGCTTTTATTCTGAAAGGAACCGTTGCAGCAGTTGGAACAGCAACAGTGTTTATCCAGCTTGTCGTTGGCTCTTTCGGCTGAAGATGAAAGTTACGGATTGGCCATTCCGTCAACTTCTCTCAAACGCTTGGACTGGCGTTAAAGATGATCTGGGCATAATTTTATACTTCAGATGTTTTGGTTTATGGTCGAATGAAAAGATGACAGATTTACCAAGCACCACCAAAACCACGCCTCCGTCAGATCTGGCAGATTCTGATTGGATCAGTAAAAGCAATGTGTCATGTCTTAATGCTACGTGAGATCAGTCCTAGTGGAATCATTTAAAGTCATATTACTTATTATATTCTATAGGATTATAATAAAGTAATTAATACTTTGATTTCACAGATTGGTCACATCTTATTAATGACTAAAACTTTGTTTGAGTAGCTTTATTAAAAATAGAGTTCTTTGATTTATTAAAAGGAGAGAGTCCTTTGTCTTCATTCTTCTCTTGAGCTGGAAAGAAGCAGTTTTGAAGCAAATGCATGACCTTGAGGCAGTCTCGTGCAGATTAGTTCTGTGTCAAAGGAGAGGGGGAAAATGACTTTGGTGGAAAACAGTCATTTCATTCTGTTACATTACCAACGATGTGCAAGATCCTCACAATTATCTTCACAGAGAGAAGATGCACCTTCCTCGACAACAACAACAACAACATGCTACCACTAGAACAAAAAGGCTGTAAGAGAGGAAGTTATGGAAGCAAAGACCAACTCCTGATCAACAAGATGATACTGGAAGACAGCAAGGGGAAGAAGAAAAACCTGAGTACAGCATGGATAAACTGCAGGAAAGTCCACCAACCACCAACAGTGACTGAAAACAACAACATCACAGTGTTGTGGGACATGCCAATCAACACAGACAGAGAAATTATGGCCAACAGACCAGACATAATCATCAAAAACAAAGAAGAGAAGACTTGCCTCATGATTGACATGACCATCCCATCTGAAAAATATGTCACCACCAAGGAGCTTGAAAAGCTATCAAAGTGCAAGGACCTGGAAATAGAAGTCACAAGAATGTGGGGGATGAAGACAACAACAATACCTGTCGTAGTGGGTGCACTTGGCCTCATCAAGAAGGGACTGGAAAAGAGAACAAAACAGATTCCTGGAAACCCAGCAGTCCAAGAAATCCAGAAGAATGTTCTTCTCAGAAGTGCCCACATCATCAGAAGGACACTTTCCATAAACTAACCATGAAACTGTCTTAGAAGCATGGATTGATTCTGGCACTTCAGTGAAAGCATACAAATATACGAAAAATGTAATACTACTACTACTACTACTACTACTACTACTACTACTAATAATAATAATAATAATAATAATAATAATAATAATAATAACAATAAGGACACGTTACAGCCATAAAATGACAACAAAGAAACCAAGTTAAAAACAGCATAAATCACACACAGAAGCCTAAAAATACAAACTCGATAATAAAATCAATGAAGATGGAAAAGGTGACACTAGCAGTATGCAGTCTGAAAGAGTTGGGTTTTGAGTCGAGATTTAAAGGAGGAGAGCGAGTCAGAGTTATGGATGGCTTGAGGGAGAGAATTCCAGAGACGGCGAGCAGAGCTGCAGAAAGCTCTGCTCCCCATAGAGCTGAGAAGGAAAGGTAGGACAGAGAGAGTGATAGAGGATGATGATCTGAGGGAACGGATGGGAGAGATAATGTGAATGAGGTCAGACAGGTATGGGGGGGAAGGTTATGGATAGCTTAAAATGTGAGGAGAAGGATTTTGAAATCAATGCGTTGTCTAACAGGAAGCCATTGAAGCTGTGGCAGGACAGGGCTGATATGGTGACTCACAGGGGTTTTAGGGATGATGTGTGCAGCAGAATTCTGGACCAGTTGGAACTTATGGATGGACTTTTGTGGTAAACCAAATAGGAGTGAATTGCTGTAGTCGATTCTTGAGGTGACAAGGCTGTGAACAAGTATAGAAGCAGAGTGGGGGGTTAGAGAGGGGCGACGGCGATTAATATTGAGGAGGTGGAAGTAGGCAGACCAAGTGATGTTATTGATGTGGGATTGAAATGAAAGAGTGATGTCAAGATGACAACCAGGCTCTTAACCCGCAGGGAAGGAGAAACAGAGGAGGAATCAACAGTAAGAGAAAATCTTGGAGCTTTGGATGAGGTGGATTTGGTGCCAATTAAAAGGATTTCTGTTTTGTCACTGTCAAGGTTTAGAAAATTTGTGGTGAACCAAGATTTAATTTCAGCTAGACAGGAAGAGAGGGAGGGGAGTGGAAGTGGAGATTGGGGTTTTAAGTTAAAGTAAAGCTAGGTGTCATCTGCTTAGCAGTGAAAATTAATGTTAAATTTGTGAAGGATATGACCAAGTGGAATGAGGTAGATAATGAAGAGAAGGGGCCCAAGACAGAAACCTGGATCCTCCTTTTGCAAAAATAACATCCTATAAATGCTTCCTATAGGTTCCAATGAGAGTCTGGATTCTGGTTGAAGGTATTTTGGACCATTCTTCTTTACAAAACGTCTTTGGTTCATCCAGGTTTGATGGCTTCCACGCGTGGACAACTCTCTTTATGTCACACATATTTTCAATAATATTCAGGTCTGGGGACTGAGATGGCCATTCCAGAACATTGTACTTGTTCCTCTGCATAAATGCCTTAGTCGATACTGAGCAGTGCTTAGAGTCGTTGTCTTGTTGAAAGATCCAGCCCCGGTGCATCTTCAGTTTTGTCACGGATTCCTGGACATTGGTCTCCAGAATCTGCTGATACTGAGTGGAATCCATGCGTCCCCCAACTTTACAAAAAAAGAGGATTAGGGCTAATAAACTGGGAATTAAAGACAAAATGAAAGAAATGAAAATATATGTCACACACATGGATCATTGTTTATAATTATGAAGTATTGTAACACCATGGACAGAAACTGCAGTATAAAATATGCAAAATCAAAAATTTTGTGTTCTTGACTGAATGACCAAATGTGAGATTGGGCCAAAATGATCTAAAAATAATCTTCTACTCTCTGTCCTGGAGGTAGTTGTTCAGGGTCAGAGAAATGGAAGTTTCTTTAAACCAGTCCTGGAAACATTGATTATTCTCCATAAATAAAAAACTACTTGGCAACAAATGATTTGTGTAGCGGATACATGCAGCTACAATGAGATTCCTTCACAAGGTGGCCGGGTTGAGCCTCAGAGATAAAGTTAGGGAGTCTGGCATCCTATGCTGGCAGAGAAGTTAAATGTCTGCCCTGTTATCAAAAGGTTGCAGGTTTGAACCCCACTCATTCTGTCACTGTTGTGTCATTAGGCGAGACACCCGTCTTGCGTGCTAGTGGTGGTCAGAGGAACCAATGTGCCTTGCTTCTGTCAGTACAGGGCAGCTGTGGCTACACTGTAGCTCACCAACACCAGGGTGTGTGTGTGTGTTGGGGGGGGGGGGGGGGGGGTAAAGCTCCTTGGGTGGTTCTAGAACTCTAGAAGGCACTATATCAAATAAATATATCACCATTTAGCTGAGGAGGCTGATTGGGAAGCTTGGTCACCTCCCTCTAGAGGTTTTCCAGGCATGTCCCACTGGGAGGAGACCTCTGGGAAGACCGCTGGTGGGATTATGTATCCTCTCTAGCCTGGAAGTGCCTGGGGATCCCCAGAGGAAGCTGGGGAATGTCACAGGGAGGATGAATGCCTGGGCTTCCCTCATGAGCCTGTTATCCTCATGTATTATCCTCTGAGCTTGGATAATACAAAATGGATTGATCAAAAGATGGATGGATGGACAGGCGGAGGGACAGACGAAAAAGAATATAGGTAGGGAAAGGGCTTTGTTGACCTCTGCAGGAATTAGCCACCTGAAGGGAAAGAACATGAACTTAAAATCCTGAATGACGTATGAAAACTTGTGTGAGTAAAAATGGCAAACCGTACCAAGGTCCTCCATCAAATTTTGCTCGTGAATTTTAAGAGCATCATAGAAGGCAGCTTTGACTGGCTCCCCGCCTGATCGCAGCGGCCCATCATAAAGAGCTCTCATTTGGTCCTGGGAAGTTATTTCAGCTCGAATCTCGGAGTAACTTTCTTGATGGACTTTGTTTCCAAGCACTTCAACTACGGCCATCACTCGGGAAGCTCGCTGTACTATCACTGGCTTCTTGTCATCAACAAACTTTGCTGATTTAAATGGAAAAGAACAAAAACAGAAACTAATAGAACAAGACCCTTTGTTAATCATGGGTTCAATTAAATTTGAAAGGTGACTAAAATTACAAACCTTTCTCGCTCTGTGTCAGACAAACTCTGTCAGATGTCTGTTGGTAAAAAGACTTTAGGGTTAAAAACATTTGACTTTTTTTTGTTTTGTTTTATTTTTACTCTGTGACCAGACAAACAATTCCTATCATAGTAAATATGCATCAAAATAACTGTTAAATATAATAATGTCAGCTAAATTGATGAGTCTAAACTGACCATTGGAGTGACTGCGTCCATGCCTGGTGGTTGAACAAGAGTTTCTACGTGTTGGACCTGTGACGGACCAATCATCTGCTCAGAGCGTATCACATTTCTTATTGGTTGACAGCCAGGAAAGGCGCTAGCTCCTCCAAAACCCTGAACATGCTAAAAACAAGCTAATGAATAATGATTATCATACCTTTTGAAATTTCATTAGCCAAAATTTCAAGAATACCTGCGTGAAAACCCTCGAATTATCCACAACATCGTTCAACAATGCATTTTCTGAAACAGAAAAAAACTATTTGCATTATGATACTTAGCTACTTAATTATTCAGCTCATTAAACATGCTTAAGAAAATCTACCTGGAGTACGTGGACTGGCTCCTGCTGCTTCATTTGCCTGAGAATTTCCACTTTGGGAATCCTATAGAGAGAAGCAAATATTAGATTTTCTTTATAAAAGGGAGAAAATGGAATCAGCTGTCCCAGATTTCATAAAGATGTTTCATACCAAATCTAATAAGACTTTATGAACAGCAACATTAACTATGAACAGCAACATTAACTTTGCACTTGTGCTTTAAGAACAACCCTTCAGTGTCTTTTGTGATGTCTGGAAGAGACCCAACAGTTTTATTCCAGAGATTAGGTCATGACAAAAAACATCACCGAAGTCCATTTTATTTGCAAAAAGCAGGAATGGTCTTAAACATTCTTACCTTCAGATTTTGGCCTATTCTTTGGGTTCCCATCCCAGCACTGTGTCATAAGGGTAACTAGCTCCTTCATCCCTTGTTCCTGTTTCTGGAAAAAATCAACTTTTGGTCTTCCTCCTCTTCGAATCAACATTTCTACGAGGGAATAGAATTTGCCTAAAAGAGATTTAGTTAAAACTTAGTAATGAAGCTTTATGTGAAGGTAAAATATAGATAAAATGTAATGGAAAGTCCTGTGAAAACAGCTCAAACAGTTGTGGCAGTTTCACTTATGGGTAAGCAGATCACAATAAACCCAACTTTACCTCTGTATGGTTCTTGACCAGTAACGATGGACCAGAGGAGGATGCCATAACTTAAAAAAGGAGAACATTTTAGAATATTTCAATTTTTTTGAACTAGGATTTACATCAATGCAAGTGTTTAGTTTACCTGTATATGTCAAAAGAACGAACTGGTTCATAGGATAAATCAAAAGCTTCGGGTGGCATGTATTTATAAGTGCCTCCAACCTCTTCTGATGGGATTTTACGTTTGTCCAAAACACTGGCGGAAACCCTCGACAGACCAAAGTCTGCCAGCTGCAACAGCAAACAATACACTGGGTTTAGAGTTTTGGAACTGACTGAACTTAAGCAACACCTTACCTTTGCGTTGAGTTCATCAGTCAGCAGCACATTGCTTGGTTTTAGATCACAGTGCAAAACTCCCTTGGAGTGGAGGAAGTTCATTCCTAGAGCCACTTGATGAGCCAAACGGAACGCCAGAGGCAGAGGAGGAGGGCCGGCCATTTCCTTCTGCAGGGTCTCAATGGATCCCCTTCTCATGTACTCCATGACTAAACCCCGCCGCCTGTACTCTTCAGAAGATGGCGTTCCATCATAAGTTCCATAAAGTCTCACCACAAACTCAAAAAATAAACTTTTCATGTGGTTAGCCTCCGTGTTTAGATCCTTGATCTCAGCTGGGCTGTAACGAGAGCATGAAGTTACAAATTTAAACCAGCAGGAAAATGACACAAGTCTTCAGCAACGGTCAACACACTGTTAAATTACCTTGAAGTATTATGAAGCAGCTTAACGGCCAAATCAAGCCGCCATGTTTTGTGTCTGACCTTCCAGACACTTCCATATCCACCAGATCCGATCGGTCTCCATTCGTCCAAATCTGTGTCTTTAATCACTTCACTGCTCATCTGTGACATCCTCCTTTACACTTAAGGAGGCAGCTTTTAACCTCAAAATCTACTGAAAATGAAGGAGCATTTGGTTTATTTTTACATTTAACATTAATAAAATTGCTTAATTCCTTGATTTCTGCAATGCAAAGATTATGACTGTGAATAATACATAAAAAAATAAATATGTACATGTATATATATATATATATATATATATATATATATATATATATATATATATATGTATACAGTCTCCACATGCACTTTGTATTTAATTTAGTTTCATGGCTTCTACCTACCTAATATCCACTCAAATGAAACCACTGAAGGTTTAAAAAGTTGAGCCCAAACATGAGAGAAAAAGACGCTGCAAGTCTCAGCTTCCTGTTTCTGTTCCGTGTGCAGACTGAAGTTGTAGCAGACGGGCGGGACTTCAACCGTCATGTAGATCAGTGAACACCAAACATAAAAAAAATAAATCCCTCCCCCTCCTTCCTGTTATATGACTCACGTGTTAGGCTGTAATGTCTAGAAAGGAATGTGTTGTTTACAGAATTTAAAGCTACAGGACTTCACATCAGGCTGCGCAGTAGCGCAGTGGTTAGAGCTGTTGCCTTGCAGCAAGAAGGTCCTGGGTTCGCTTCTCAGCCTGGGATCTTTCTGCATGGAGTTAGCATGTTCTCCCTGTGCATGCGTGGGTTCTCTGGGTACTCCGGCTTCCTCCCACAGTCCAAAAACATGACTGTTATGTTAATTGGTCTGTCTAAATTGTCCTTAGGTGTGAGTGTGTGTGTGCATGGTTGTTTGTCCTGTGTGTCTCTGTGTTGCCCTGCGATGGACTGGCTCTCTGTCCAGGGTGTGCCCCACCTGATTGCCCATTGACCGCTGGAGATACCCCCCCCCCCCCCCCCGCGACCCTACATGGACGAAGCGGGTTCAGACCAAGGATGGATGGATGGACTTCACATCATAAACTAGAAAAGAACTTTGCACCATTTTTGCCACCGTGTTTGGTCGTAAAAGCTGACCTGCTTTCCTTTTTGCGCTTACAGTAACACCCATCCCGTGAGGAGAATTCTTTTTAAATTTTCTTTTCACTGATGTCCTGAATGCAACTGCAGAACGAGTCAGTTCTGAATCTGCTCATCTTTATTACTGACTACCAGTGTCACATTTTTCTACACGTTTCATTTTCACATGACATTGTTGTACAGCATGCTTAACTTGGGAGACATTTTCAGAAACAAATTAAGATAAAATGCATAAAATTGACAGATCTTGACCACTTACTTATTGTTAATGACTTTAACAATGAAATGAGAACTGTTAGTTTTATTGGGAATAACTCTTCAGCCCTCACACGTGTAGTTCATTTTGAATAGTGTCACGATCTGCCCCTTCCTTCCTGACTGTGTTCCTCTCCTGCCTTGATTACCCATATTGTTCTCACCTGTCCCTCATTAGCCTGCCCATGTGTTCCTCATTTTCCCCGTGTATTTATACCTCCCTCCTTGTTGCTGTCCTTTGTTGGATAATTGTTGCTTGTAGTCCTTGTGGTTGGTTCCTGTCGTTCCCAGTCCTCCATTAAAACCATTTTACTTTTACTGAAGCCTGCATTGTTTACCTCCTGGTCAGCTCTACCACACATGGTCCGCCGTCATCCACACCTACAACGTAACAGAATGATCTGACCTCAACCTGGACCTGTGGTGAGCACTTCTACATCTCCCTGGAGGATTTATTTTTACTTTCTTCCTTTAGCAGAAGGAGATTCTGGCCCAGGTTGTTGGCGCATCCTACCTGTTCTCCGGGGTGGTCAAGTCTCTGGGTGGGTTTCGGCGCATCCAGTTCATTTCCTGTGGTGGTCGAGCCCTTCTCCTCTCCTGCTTTCTGCCCCCGTCCTGTTTTTCTCATGGAAGCTGCGGATCCTGGAGCTTTGAGGGAGTTACACCCCCTACGCACGCCATCATTCTCCGGGGTGGTAGGGCTGGTCTCCCCGCTCTTCTCCTGCTTCCCTGCACCCAAGCCTCTGCCTGAGACCCAGCGAATCGTGCTGTGCACCTGCTCAGACCGATTGTCGAGTACCTGCCGCCGAGCTGGGGTTCCTCGCGTCGCTCCTGCTGTTCATCCACTTCCTGGTCCACGCTGTGGGGCTTATGCCTGCAGGTCTCATGCTGCTGCAGCCTCTGCTGGGTCCCACGCCTACTGCTGCAGCCCCTGCTGGGTCCCACGCCTGCTCCTGCAGTTCTCTGCCTGGGTCCCACGCCTACTGCTGCAGCCCCTGCTGGGTCCCACGCCTGCTCCTGCAGTTCTCTGCCTGGGTCCCACGCCTACTGCTGCAGCCCCTGCTGGGTCCCACGCCTGCTCCTGCAGTTCTCTGCCTGGGTCCCACGCCTGCTCCTGCAGTTCTCTGCCTGGGTCCCACGCCTGCTCCTGCAGTTCTCTGCCTGGGTCCCACGCCTGCTCACGTCCAGTCTTCACGTCAAGTCTTCACGTCCAGTCCAAGTCTCGTTCCAGTCCAAGTCTCGTGTCCAGTCCAAGTCTCATGTCCAGTCCCCATCTCCTGTCAAGTCTTCGAGTCCCCATCTCCTGTGTTGTGTAGCCTTGTGGGCGTCTGGTATCCGCCCCTAAGGGGATGGGGGGGGGGGGGGGGGGGGGGTACTGTCACGATCTGCCCCTGCCCTCCTGACTGTGTTCCTCTCCTGCCTTGATCACCCTTAGTGTTCTCACCTGTCCCTCGTTAACCTGCCCATGTTTCCCTAATTAGCCCTCTGTGTTTATACCACCTGTTTTGCCCCTGTCCTTTGTCAGATCATTGTTGTTGTTTGTTGTGTTGTTCCTGCTGTATCCTGCTATTAAATCCATTTTTATTTAATCCGTGCCTGCTCTTCTGCCTCCTGGAACCCTCCACCACACTTGGTCCACCATCTCCACCCTCACAACATGACAAATAGTAATGTTAAAGAACAGTAAATATTTGTATGGATGCGACTGATGCATTTGCAGAAGTGGCTATGATGTGCACAAATGACTGACTGTTGTAGAAAGTGACCTAACGGTAATGTAAATGTTACATCTGCACCAAAAGCAGCTTAAAAAACTAAACGTGGAGTATAGTGCTGTTTTATTTTAGAATATTATCTTTAATTGTGCATTTTAAGATTTTTTTCATAATCCTTTAAAAGAATTACAAATATTTTATTAGACTGGTTAAAAATAGGAAATTAACGAGTTATTTTTTATTGCATCTTTGCAGTGTCCATTTAAATGTCTCTTTTTGTGCCTCGTAGGTCAAAACTGACCTGAAAAAAAAGAAAACAGCCCATTTCCAGTTAACACCATGCATTTATGGTGTAAAAATGAAAGCTGTAAAAGCCTTTCATTAAAAATCCTGTGAACATCTCATTCTGCCTTGTTCCCTCAGCCGGCATCGATAGGCGCAGTCTGCTCTCTGCATTTCCATCCCTCTCCCCTCCCTCTTCCCCACCCACCTTCATTTACGCTCACTTTAGCGTGGACCTTTCACCAGAGGCTGCTCGCAGCACCACACCTCTCCTCTCTGTCTTTTCCATCTTTCGCTGCTTCGTCAAAACTGTATTTTACACTCTCCTTCATTTGCTTCATCATCTGACGATGTTTCATGTTATTGATACATAGGGATCTGTGCTGGATCTGAGGCAAGCGTCTGTCTTTCCACCGCGCTGAAACAAGAGCAGCATCACTAATGCAGACAGGTTACATCCTCTGAAGTGGTGAAGGGCAACCTTGGAAGAAAGCAGCTAGGCTGGAAAACCACGTGCATGACTGCACGTGCTTTGTGCTGTGAAGATAGTAGATTGGGAAAGAGAGCGGAGAGCAACAACAGAGGGAGAGGAGCGCCGGTCGCAGGGGTCTGGAGAGGAGGGACTACAGGGAGTGTTTTAAAAGTGAAAAAAAGGAGTGAAAGAGGGGTATTTTCTTTAAGATCAAAGAACTGGAAGAAGAGGATTCATCTTTGTGCAGTCTGAAGAGTCACTGAGACTGGGGAGCCACAGGCTCTCTAGAGGCTGTGGAATTTCACTTGGACCAGTCTGTGTCTCTGACTGAGACAGAGACGGGTGGTCATAAGGGCACCGAGCAGGCGGACCAGTTAAAAATCTACCTAAAGGTAGAGCGAATAGAACAGAGAACAGAAGTGGACAAACAGCGAGTTCCTCAAGACAATCCAGACAAATCTATAGGAGAATCCCAGCATGGCTGTCCAACTCATCCCTGAATCAGCTGTCAGTCTTCTCATGGTAAGTCTCCAGCTGGTGGCGTTACCTAAACCTTCATGAAAAATCAAGTTTTTGTTCACTTATTTCCTTTGCTACTCTCTAGAAGCTTGAAAGCCTCCTAGAGAAATTCAAAATCCACTTGTCAACCCGTAGAAATGCTTTTTTTGAACATTTTCAAAATATTACAGAGAGTGGTATAATCAGACAGAATCTGCTGGTTTGCGTTGTTAATAAGCCACGCTCAAGGCTAACTTTTGTCTCTTAACTGTAAAGGAAAAGAAAAGCGCTGCTGCAGGAGTGATTTTAGCTGATCTAGATCTGCATTTTTCACACTGAATGAAATCACAGAGATCATTTGAGGTGCATAGTACTGAAAACCTTCTGTCACTGACAGGAAACAGCATAGCTTGTTTCTGATATGGCCGTAGAGAAAGATAAAAGAAGCATGTGGCGTGCTGAAATGCAGTGAACTCTGCCATTGTTTCCCTGCTCACTTAGACAGAACGGACATCAGAGTGGCCTTGCTACATGTGTGGAATACAAATGGGAAAGCTTTGTCTTCTTCTGATAACCTTTATTGTTTGTAAACAGAAACCTTACATGCTCGCTGTGCATAGGAGCATGCTTTTCTCTTTTTTATATTATTCCACATTATTGGCATTCTGCATTCTCAAGGGAAGTCACGCATCACTGCACTACCTGCTAGCTCCACCTGTCATAGCAGTCTGTTACTATGGCGATTGACCATGCAGTCCATGGGTTGAGGCAGAAGCTTTAAGGGGGGGGGGGGCACAAACAATGATGGACAAAACAGGAAAAATAATGGAAAAAGCTGTGTGAGAAAACGAGAGGAAGAACTACAGGCAAGGAAATGGAAAAAGACGTTTTGAAGTTGATCATTTCTGTGAAGAAGTGGCAGACTCTGTTAGCATTTGGTTTTTTAGCATCAAGAGAGACTTCTCCTGAGGGGACTTTCATGGCGTGTGTGGTATGGAGATACAAATGTATTCATCTGCTGAGAATTGTGTCATCCAGCTGACAGTTTGTGTCCCCTGAGTGCCTTTTACTCCTTCACTGCGTGTGTTAGCATCAGAATGGAAGCTGCTCCCCTACAAGTGCTCTTCCTGTCACAGCTGACAATCCTAAAATGTTTTGCTGTCAAACCGGTTTCACA